TAACAAAAATTTAGTGGACGGGGGTAGTTGACCACGCTGAATCCGAATATGCTATTTTTATTCACTAGGAGCATAATCTTTTTTGATCAAATTCAATGGATATATGGCGGACAGTAAACGGATGAATTCAGCTTGAAAAAATGAAGCTCCTTCTACCTGATTGAATTAAGTGTCATACACTTATGCGATTTTCAAGAGAAAGAAATAAATAAAAACAAGTTTTTTGAATATGAATTAAGCAAAAAAACGTTTCAGATAATAGAGAATGATTCGATTGCTGAGAAATTGTTGAATTTCAAAACTTATTCTAATTTTAGAATTGATAAAATTTTTATTATCTAATTAAATCTTTAAGTAATTTTTTACTCATGAGTTTTCAACTTGAAAAATGTTATACACTCTTCTCAACATATATGCAGATAGTTTTTCTTTTCGTTCTGTCGTACATATATATATATGTATGCATGTGTATACGCGTACCACAGAACGAAAGAAAAAACTGAAGAAAGAATGAACAAATTTCTTCTTGCAGTGAATCTTGTTTTAAAAAGTTTTGCTTGGGACTACACTATACTCGGCGCTCATATTCTAGGGTAATACTCAGTTTTTTGCGCTCTTTCTAATGATACCAATCTTACGTGTTAGACTTTTAGAAAACTTTTTCGATGGTTTGATCTGAATTCGACCTGGAACTATCAACATTCTGAATCCACCACTTTAACAGGAAATTATCTCTAGAATAAATTATTATTGATTGAACTTGATACTACTGCTTGCATATTGGTACTTTTTTTTATTCGCTATTTTTCGATTATGATGAAACTTTGTTCAATTCAGCAATAGCTTTTTCAGTCTCTTGTACAAAATGTTTCATATGTTTAAGTACTTGTTGTTCAGATTGAAACCACGTAGAACTGTAGAATGTTGCCCACATAGCTGAATACATCACATCTAAATATGGTTTGATATAACTGATATCATTCGAACTCTCATTTAGCCAATTCAATGGCAGTAATGATTTGAGTTTTTCTTTTCGTTCATCATTATCCAACCAATGTTCATAAAATTTCATATCACTTTCCTCAAACGTCATAGCACAACTTTCCCAATCAATAATAGCCAAAATTTTACCAGTTATTTGATCGACAATAATATTCGATGTATTCAAATCTGTATGAGTCATATGAAATGAATACTTTATATTCGATAGATACGCGCCATTTTCGAGGCGTTTGATGATTTCCTGTAGAGGTGATAGCAAATGTTTTGCAATTTCAAGCAATTGTGAATCAATTTCGATAGATTGAATAGACCATTTTAAATGTGCTATAATGAATTCTTTCGGCGTATGAAATGGACCGAGTGTAGGACCATCAAGAACGTATCCACTCAGATGCAGCATTTTATTACAAAACGATCCGATCTGATTCATTTGTGGCAGATTGATTTCACGCAATTGCTTAACATAGTTGACCATTTCCGTTGCAGTTTTCATCAAACTATCATCGGACATCTGATCAATGACATGTTCAAGTGTATTGCCTTGAATTTTTTCCATTAGGATAAATTCACATTCTAAAATACTCGTATGAAAATCGCATGAATAGGCCAATATTTTCGGTAGAGGAATAGTTGTTTGTTCATACAAATATTGCATAGTATAAACTTCATTTTGTGTTCGATAATATCTCCAATAGCGATGTGGATTCGATATTTTTAGTATAAGTTCCTTGTCAGATGTTGAATTAGATTGTAATATTGGTTGCGATTGTAGATTATAGAGAAAATTAACACAACCCGATGTTTCCAATCTTTCAAATTTCAAACAACGTAGAGCTAATGGTTTGAGAACTTGATTGATAGTTTCAATCGATAATTTTGATAGAATCGATTCAATATCATGTTGCTGCTCTGCATATGTCGGATGTAAGATAAATGCCATTTACTTCAAACGGATAGTAGAAAATGTTGATGCTTCGAGTCGACTTAAAAGGTGCAAGTCATGTCTTTGTAATTGCACAATCATTGACTAACTCATGTGTCATTCGAAACTAAAGCAGAGCAAACAATATCATGTAAAATGTGAAGGAACGTTGGCGTTGAAAAAAATGCTTGGGCAGTGAAGGATGATGGGTGTCGGTGTGAGTGTCGATGTGATTGTGGGTGTTTTGGTATGAGAGAATAGTTATCATTCACCGCCATCCACATCCACATCACTCTTTGTATTAAGTCCTGGTTTTGCATGTATTACAAGGGAACATTCCAAGGTGCCGGAGCGCTTTTCAGTCGGGATTTCGTGCATCTTGTAGCCCATAGTGAGCTGTGTTTAAGGTAAAAACAATTCGAGTTACTAGCTTGTTTCTATGTCGTTAGAGCATTTTATTATTACAACTATAAGAGTTATCGTATCAGCAAAAAGTAATATGTCAACCAATACTCACTGAAACGAATTGAGATATTTCTCATATATAGTTGTACTCATGTGGAACATAATGTGAAAGTTTGAGCTAAAAAAACATTGAAAAGATTCAATTATCAATTTTAGACAATATTAATGCCGTTCTATGTGTCATTGTATGTAGTATTTTCTAGAATTGTAAGATATTTGTAGTCTTTCACAATAGTATATTTATTTGCACTTCTGTCCTAATGTTAACAACATGTACCGGTAGCATTACGTACTGAAAGAAAAAAAAGATAAAAAAGGGTTATTGTATATGTTCCAAAACAATTACTTTAAGCTAAACTATATAGACTATGATGAAAATGCTAATCAGAAAAGCAATGTTGGAAACAGAAATTGCTTCTACACCAACTGCAACAAATAAAGGGAAACAATTCACAACAGCCACCACTGCCTGAAACATTATGAAATCTAAAGCACACTTGTTTGACAGATAGAAAAGAACCTGGATGCTTATCTATATACCCACTTGCGTGCCAAACATATTGCAACATTTTTCAAAAAACAGGAGCACATAGTTAATTATAAATGAGAGACAGACTACGAATGATACAATTACGTTCACTTAGGGTGAGGGTGTGGGTGCGGGTGAGGGTGGTCGGGGTGTGGGTGTGAGAGGGGAATTGGGGTGAGGGTGAATTCGACTTCTATACCTACATCCACATCCACACTCACACCCTCTAATCTAATTAGAAGGAGTTGTTGTGGGATGAGGGGATAAATATGTTTTCGTGGATTGATGAAATGTTTTTCTGCTGGGATTTATCAGAAAAGTAGCAGTAGAGAATGAATAGGATGTAGTACTTGTTTGTATTCACTCACTTCTCTTAGTTTATGAACTTATATGTGCAACCTTCCGGTATTAAACGCCACATAAGTAAGTAATCTACAAATGTCGAAAACAAATTGTAAATTTTATTAGTAAATGTTTAAAATTTTGTATGCTACTGATAATTAAAATGTCGATTGTTATTCAATACTTAAACGGGTCTATCACCAATAATTGTTGCTCTTTCCATGCGTCGACAATTAGGCCAATAGTCTCCAATAGCATAATGTTGAGTTGATCTATTATCCCAGAACGCAACATCATTTTCTTTCCAATGCCATCGAACTGTATATTCCGGTTGATTTACCAAGCTGAATAAATAATTTAATAACATGTCACTCTCAATATCACTCAAACCAAGAATTCGTGTTGTAAAAGTAGTATTGACAAACAATAATTTACGCTTTGTTATTGGATGAGTTCGAATCACCGGATGCATAACAGGTGGTAACTCTTGTTTTGCCTTGTCCAATTTTTCTCTAGCATCAGACACATAAACATTTGTCATATTAAAATTTTTTGCATAAAAATGTTCAGCTGATAATGTGCTTAAAAAATTTTTCATTGGTAATGATAGAGCATCATAGGCCGAATACATGCTTGACCATAATGTATCACCACCAACAGATGGAATTTGACGTGCATATAAAACACAACCAAGTGCTGGTTTTTCTGTGAATGTTATATCTGTATGCCAATGATCATTACTTGGTTTTCTGTCAGGACCATATTCTAGAACCATTAGTTCAGGTATATCCTGAACATGAGGATAAAATGGATGTGTGTGTAAATCACCAAATAAACGAGCAAAATCACGATGTTGCTTTGGAGTTAAATGCTGATTACGAAAAAATAGAACCTGATGTTTGATTAATGCTTGTTCAATTTGTTGAATAATATTACTGTTATGCAATGAATTCGATAAATCAATGTCATGAATAATCGCACCAATAGCAGATACCAATATTTCAATGTTTAAGTCGTTTGTATCAGTTGAAATTGTTTCTTGCTCAGACGGATTCGAAGACATTTTTGATATTCTAAAATAGAACCGGCAAAATCAGAAGATAATAAAGCAGGCACCAATGAAAACTGTTTTTGATTACTCAAAAGAAGCAAACAACGCCTAACAACACTGTGACATAGAGCAAAAAGCGAAATATCTTATTGATACTTTTAAATTAAATATTTACAACTAATTAGTTACTAGCCTTTGATGTACAACCGTTCATATAAGATGAAGTCTTTAATACGTTACGAGTTCTTAAGTAACGAGTGTTGAATAAGGATAATAATTAATGCATCTTTTTTTTAATTTCATTTTTGCTGTTTTTAAGTATTTAGTATGATATCAAGTTCTAACTAGATATTTCAAACTTAGCTGATCGTTGAAAATCCGTTGAAGACAAATAATTACCAGGCTATAACGATAAATTAGCAAAAATGAAATAAAAAACAAGTGCATTTTCTATCAGATAAAAGTTGCACTATTGAAAACAATGAAAATATAACAAATAAGAATGAAAAGACACTTTTTTTCGGTTTAGATGATATACCTTTACAGATAAGAAACAAAATGTTACGAATACTTAATAGTCTTCCAAGAGGTAGAACAAAAACAAATAGAATTCAGATAAATTCTCATGTCATATTTTTTTGCATAAAAAATGGGCATTCTTATCAATGGTATGATTATCAAATTTAACAAATGCAACAGAGATACTTGATAAAACACATTTATTGTTAGAAATGAGCTTGTCCTTCATTTTGTTCGATTTTTGGAAAAATAGATCTAATTTGTTCATCACTCAAAACTCAATTAATCTCTCTCTTTGACGACAATTATTAATTGTTTAGTCGAATGTCAAGCAAAATAATATCTTGTTCTTCAATTCACAAAAAATAGAATCGATTTCGACTTTATTGTAATATTTATCAAAATCTCAGAAATCGCAAACTAATTCTTTTTATTACTCTAAACTATGAGATTTGATTGTATTTTGAATGTAAAATACCAACTCTACTTTTTAAAAATTGAATTCAGTGAATTCATTTTAATTCCACTTATATTCGACATACAGAAGACAATTCACTTTTCCGAAAATAATATTTTGGAACTTATCCAAAACCTAGCTTTTTTTTAAAACGAAACGTTGATTTACTAATTTTATATCAAACACAGATCTAATCACTCTTTTATATGCTTTTGCAATAATGTCTTTATTGAGAGAAGATAATTAACGATCAGTGAATTCCATCTGGCGTTAACCTGTGATATCCAATTCCGAATTTTTAATTTGAATATGTACTAACGTGATCCACTTTCATGAGACTAACCGATTTTTCTCTTGTTGTACACAAATTAATTAAAATACTTTGTAATACTACGCTTTGTGTAGCATCATAAAAGCTTCAAGTAGCTCGAAGTAGTTTAAAGTAACCTTCAAGAGGCTCAGAGTAACTTCAAGTACAACAGTATGCTATTTTCTCTTTGAGGTCGATCCACTCGCTTCTAGATTGAAAAAGACGATGAAACGGAACGTGTATGAACTTGTAGGACAGAATTGTAACTGGTAACGGGTGTGGGTGTGCGCGAGTAAGAGTTGAAAAACCCCACCCACACCCACACCCAAACCCCAAATCGTCCAAAATGGTCGATTTACTCGATGAAATTAATAAACATATTAATAAAATGAATGTTACAAGATGAAGTAGTGAATATTTACTGATAAAATCTATTTTATCTATTAGAAAAAATGATTTGGAATCTATAACCAAACTGATGGATAATTCAATTAAATTTTCAAATAATGATCTTATAGTCTTAGAAGAAATTATTGATCTGCTAGAATCATTCTATGAAATTTCTATTAAGTGTCAAACTGAAACAATAGCTACTGCAAGTATGGCTGTACCAGCGTTTGTACATTTATTATCTCATTTACGTGATATTAAAGAAAATATATTTTATTTTGTACGAAACTTGTTCAACAACTCCCGCTATCACTGGAAACACGTTTCTCTGGTATAACAAAGCGATTAAATCAAAATCATATTGAAGAAAATGATCCATTGAGTGATCCAGTGTATTTTATGGCAGCTGAATTAGATCCTGTGTTCAAATTCTATTGGATTCAGGATTTAAGATTACCAGCTAATACTGAAAATCGCTTAAAACAAAGTATAATTCAACTTATTCTGGATGATATTAGTAAAGATACAACAACATCAACAAATAATTTAACTGATCAAAGTATTTTTTTAATTTCCAAGTGTATTCTTCTTTTCATAGATAAAAAAAAGGATTCGATAATATTTAATTTCTGGAAAATTTAAAGTAAACAATTACTTATTTGTATATAGTGTAAAAAGAAGGCTAGTGATATTATGTAGATTTAGATCGTGATCGATCATTATTATGACTAGAGAAAAAGAAAAAATATTCGGTTGGTTGAATCAACAGCTTATCGTAAATCGATTATCGTGATTCAATATTCTATAAGAGGATGGTAGATGCGCCCCTAGTCGAACATCTTGTAAGTAAGATCTTAGTCAAGATCTTAGGTACAGATAAGTGAACAGATCTTGAAAATTGACGTGCAAGATATTTTGATTATCTTGTACCAAGATCTGTGACCAGATCTTGAGTACAGATTTCTAAGATCTTGACAGAAGACATTCAAGATCTTGGTAACAGATATTCAAGATCTTTAAAACACTATCTTGCCCTGTTAGGTTGCTCACCGTGGTCCATTGCACGGATTATTAAATTTTGTTTACAAAACTCAAGATTTTTAATGTCATAGATCGATAGTTCGCTATAATACTATCCTATCTGATGACTATTACATGTTGATTAATATACATGTATGAGCATTCAATATAAAAAAAATTGTCTATAACTAGTACAAATTATGGAAAGAGTACATTAATGCAATAACGATTAAAGTTCACCTATTGATTTTTATTATTGAAAAATCGTGGATATTTACATGAATTGCAAAATCATATGAAAATCATGCTGACAATAAAATCAAGAAAAAGCTTTTTTACTGTCCTAAATAATCTTTTCTATTTTTTCTAATAAGAGAGATTTTATTTAGTCTACTGTTTCATTTTGACGTACAATATCGTTTGTGGTTAATGAATCACAAGTAGCTGTAGTGGATTGTATTGTATAATTTATTTTCGACTTGTACTTCACGGCATCGTAAGGCATTTGTGCCATCGAATTTAAGATCGTTGACCATATATATGAAATATCTTCAGGTAATATAAGGCATTTCTGCTGGATAAATTCTAAAGAAAAACATTATTTATCGTTGATGTTACACTATTTAATATTAGTGTTAAGTGGCGGCTAACATAAGGAGACACTAATAATGATGACGCTAATGAGATAATGAAATTTATTCTTATTACAACTAGCAAAACGAAAATATAGTGCACTTAGTGATTTTAAATAGGCAAGTAAAACTGTATCCTACGATTATTGATTTTAATGTTAAAATGTAGACATATTCGCGTAAAAAAAAATGTTTTATTCAACAGTAATTCAGATATCATCAACATAAGACTTATAACGTTTTATTTCCCAAAAACATTGTATTCAACGATGGCGCATGATGAAAGAAACGCTGATTTACCCTTTAATACTAATTCGTTCGGTTCAATGTATTCTTTCCATTTGAGAAGCTCGTAACCTGAATTTCTATATAATTCTCTCATAATTTTTGTCGGACGATTGATTGGAGCTTTCAATGTAATTGGATCAACACCAAAAATTTCCTTAAAAAGATCAAAGATCTAGAATAAGATTATGCATCTATGCTGTTTTCTTACTTTTACTTTTGTTAATGTTTCTTGTGTAATATCAGCTTGCGAACTCGATGCTGAAATTTTATTCTACAAATATAAAATGAATAGATTGCATTTTAAAGTAATTAGTTTGATTTTTGGAATCTTTTTTATTCTTGTATTAACCTGTTTACTCGATACTTGTTATGCCATTAGACTCATCTTACAGCCATTCAGCAATCACGAGAAGATGCCTCTACTAATAATAAAATACTGAGATTTTCTCAAAAGTTATTCATGAGTATATTGAATAATATTATGTTCTCATTTCTTTCGAATTTTTATCAACTATATGTAGTTGATAGATTTTACAATCGACAAATAGATCAACTCCTCTATCTAAACATTAAACCGTAGCTAGCCATGTACAAAAACTTCTCTCAATTGTTGACTATTTATTAATGATATTCAGTTTCGTGAATTCATTTATGCATATCTTCACGCCGAAGTATCTTCAGCTGATGTCAAATTGTTTTAACAATTTAAATTAAAAAACTGTTGTAGTTTCTAGTAATAGGATATGATACATCTGTGCAACACATTAATCATAGCAGTTACCGTTTGCTCGTAACTGGTGTTTCTTCGTAGCACACCATACACTTTTTCTAATTTTGATAAACGTTTTTTAAGAAGATCAATTTCATTGCTTAAAGACTTATAATTATTATCAGCATTTGAATCTTAAACAATAAAAAAAATCGAGTAAAATTGAACTTCGTCAACACATTGAAATTATTGAACAGGCTCACTCTGAACAATTATTGGATCTATTCGTTGCTTTTTCTTTTTTTGCTTTTTCTTTTGCAAATTTCCTAAATCAACATTTCTTCGCATCAAGTTTTCTTTACTTTTTGACCAACGATTTTCAACATCTAAAGAATAAAAAAACAGCTACTATAGTCATATTAAGTGAAAAAAAATCAGACCTTCTTGTTCACTATCAGATGAAGCAGAAATCGGACTAACGTTTACTTCATCTTTTTTACGTTTATTTGTTCTTGAGGCTGATGATGGAGTACTACATGAAAATATACGTTTAAAATCATCACCATCATCATCAAAACCTAAAATGTGTAAAGTAATATATTACATAACATCACACAACTATATTTATCAAGAGATATCTTCTTTAATCCTTCAATTAGTAGAGAGGGTTTCCACAAGATTATGGTTTTAAGTATGAAAATCAGCTTTTCATATTGCTGACACATATTCATTAAGGTATTTAAAATTAACTTTTTTCTTATACATATTAACTTTCAATTGAGACAAAAGCATTATAAAAAGGTTTTTGTTTCATACTCTGATCGTAGATAAATTATTGAAAGATTGAAATAAAAAGAACGAGTCTTTACCTGATGCCGATAAAGTAGGTACAGCACTTGTTTTTGTTTTATTTGCTACCATTTGTTCAATTGTCGAAATTTCTCGTGCAGTTATTTTTGTTTGATGTGTTGTTGGTATATATTCTTCATAATCTTCATCCGTGCATTCATCCATTTTTTTGTATCGTGTATCATTAATAGGAGGAGACTCACATTGACGTTCAGGAATAACGATTTCTTCGCTTCCTGATTCTTTTGAGAATCTACTTGAAACTTCTTCCATCTCTTGACGAGTCCCTAAAATGTATTCTAAAAATTTGTGTTTACTGAAAATCTAGAAAATTGTTTTTACCTGTTTTAACAATCATCAATTTTTTTCTTTCTCCATATGCCTTGATGTTGCCAGATTGGGCACCAAGAGGACTAAGTGGATCGATATTTATCAATGATGTTTTTATAATAGAATGCTTCTTCAATTGAGGAAATGACACAACTGAAAAATCGGTGTATTTTGATGTTTGACCAGCTGTTGTTCGTTGTGGACGTTGACTCAATGGTGAAACATACATCTAGAAGAAAAGATCATGATGTGAAGTTGGGAGAACACTTATATGAAGATTTATATATATTCATATGACCGTTCCTTTGAAAGATATGATGATGAATTTTAAATAATTTGAAAGAAGAAAAACATTGTTGTATTGATGAAAATTATTAGATGTGTGTGTCAACAAGTTGAAGAATTTTTTATTGTGAGGGTTAAAAAGTAATTTACCGTATAGTCTCTGTTTTCAGTATTGATTAGTTATTTCTTATATTTATTAATAATAGCGGTAGAATACTTTTCTTTAAATAAAAGATAAATGCTGATGTTAACAATCTAAAATTGAAATGTATGTATGCACTTTCCTAAGATAAATAAAAATAGCTTGAGTGCAATCATCACAACTGCAGTTAAAGAACGATGAAAGAATAAAATAAATTTTTCATTAATTATTTTTCAAAGCAAGAAACGATGAAAATATACATTACTAATATTGGACCACTTCAATCGTGTTCCCAATCCAGATAGATCTGGGTGAAAACCGATGTGTTTGGTTCAATCCATGACATACGAATGACTTTGTTCAATATGCAGTTTACTTGTACGATTTTGTAGACAAACGTTTTATCATTAAAAAAATAATAGTAATTGTTTAATCGATCAAGAAGAATTTTTGGAACTGTAACTGAGGATAAACCATCTGCTAAACTTTTATCGAGGCACTTATAAAGTTTTACAAATGCATAATGTTTATTATTGACTTGAAAATAGAAGACAACTTCACCAAAACAAAACCCATGATTTTTTGGACATTCATCATGTTTAATAGACATCCAATAACTAATTGCATTTCCACCACGTTCATAACATAATGAATGAAATGCTTTCAATCCTCGAAAATAGCGAGCGTATTGTTTTATTTGTTGTCTTGCATCTAATTGAATTTTTTGTTTATTACAACATTTTATAAATCTTTCATTTAAAGATATAACTAATGATTTATTCAAATACTTATCATCGAAACGTTGATGCTGAGTAAGGTAAACCATATTTAATGTACTATCAGGATATAAACTAGGATCGACCTTGTACCATGTAATAAATTGTTCAAGGATATACTTTTTCCCTTTGCACCATTTAATTGCAGTACCAATATAAGACTCTCTAGGAAAGCATGAAGTCATGGATAAAGATCCATGCTTTTGAACTTGAGTCAGAAGATGTGAATGTAAATGAATTGTACAAAGTTCAGACTTTGGGCCATAATATTTTGACAAACATTGATAATAATAATTGAAAAAATGATTAATATCTTGTAATTCATCTTTTTCTTGGTAAAAGTGTAATGCTCGAATGTAAACAAAATAATATAAAAAGTGTAACGCCAATTCATCGGGCAAAAATTGAATCACGAATATTGGTGAAATATATAACAGTAAGTCTCTATAATTGAAAAAATGATATTAAGTGAACTTTTATATTAGAAATAGCGACTCCATAGAGTTACTGTCGAATAGGATTTTTCGATTAGAAGACCAGAATTAAACTCGCAACATAATCTATACAAGTCTTTCACAATTAAAGAACCTGCACAAGTGAATTTAACTCAGAATCTTTAACTTATCAATATTATGTATACAAGTTAGGATTTTACTGTTCCTTAAATATCAAGCTACACTTTAAATTTAAAAAAGATCAATTATTGAAAAGTACTAATCTATCTAGAATCAAGGCTTTCTTAAAGTTGATAAGGTCATAATTCTGATGGTAAATAGAAAAAAAATCCTACCTGAACATCTTCGTTTTCCACTTTGCAAATTGAACTAATGGCATAAATTGATATCCAAACGAGTGTGGCAATGTAATTGACAATAAAAAATTCGATGCTTGTTCAAAAACATCTGGCAATAGCAACTGGTTCCAATAGACGATTAAAGTTTTAAAGTGGCCACTACACACGAGATGCATATAGTCCACAGCAATTTGTGAAGGAAATAACATAATTTTTGTTAATGGAGTTGGACCTTTAATACCATGTGATCGAAATCTTGGTAAATCTAATGTTGATAATCGAAGATAATCAGTATCAGTCTTTTTAGTTGATGGTGTTCGAGAAAACGGATAAAATATCTGTGTACCAATAGCATAGCCATGTATTTTGCAAAATGGACAAGCATCGTAACCATTAAATTGGATTATGTTACAATTATGAGCAAGTGCAGGTAAATCAAATGTAACTAATTGTACTCGAATATTGAATTTTATTTTCGAATGATCATTTAATTTTAATATAATTCCATTTTCATATAAATCCTGAATTTGATCAACAATATTATTCCATAATAATTCCCTATTCGGATGAGTTTCACCTAACCAAGCACCAAATATCATGACAGCACTTTTATAATCTCTAATGGGAGGTGGAATTTCAAGAATAGTTGCTTGTATTGGCCACAATGATTTTCCACCCATTTTAGTCACAGGTGCCCCATCTGTATGTAGGGCAATAGTCAGTTGTGGTTGTTTTTTGTTTTTCAAACGTTCGTAGATGGAACCATTGATTACGTCACATGGCAAAAATGTGTTTGAACATTGGTAATATTCATTGATTAAATTTATATATCGTTTGGCTGTTAAGGAAATTTCATCTCTAATATCATTAGTTACCACTTCAATAACATTTCTAAATGGACGCCTTGTATTATTTAATTTACATTCATCAGTACATTGTTTTTGTTCGGGACTTGAGAAACGACACAAGCATTCAAGGCAATAATACATAACTTTGTTTGAATATTCAAAACCTAATCATAAAAAATGAAATGAGAAATATGTTAATAGAATATATATATGAAAACTAGACTTATTTTCGCATCTCTTTATATTTCATAATGTAAGGTATCAAAAATATTTTATACGAATTGATACAGAGAGTTCTAGAAAGCCATCTACTTTGTAAGACAGTATTATATTCTTCGTAAAATTAGACTTAGAAAGCGAAGAAAATAAGACCAACGAAGTTGAATATTTAGTATAGGAATGGGTCTTTCCTGTTAGGAAGTTACATAATACAGTATTTTTTTTAAATAAAATACTCTATTGCTAATTTAATCGAGGCTTCTTCGTTAAAATTAAAATGTACTAGTACAAATATACTTTCATTGTTTCGAATTATTTTGTGTATAAGTAGTAAAAGATTAAATTAAATATGTTAATTACCTATTATTTTCATAAGACCTTGAACTGTTTGTGGTAATTTGAGATTCGAAGGAAAAAGACACCGAATATCATTTAATAAAACTTTGATTCCACTTTTATCTAAGTTTAGACGACGAGCTAGTTGAATTAAAGCAAGACATGCTTCACGTATCGATAATGGACATGATTGAAATAATTTTGTTTGCATGTTGATATCATTTAAAAGAATAAATTCATTCATATTATCTTCGTCATCGGTATCAATAGCCAAGTCGTTATTAGTATTATCACTCACGTTCAAGTCAAATTCATCAGATGAATCAACAAGAGAAGAAGCAAAAAGTGCATCATCAGTCAATACATTGTTTCGGTCATCTGATATATTCATCGTTGTTTGATCAATTGTACTTGATATATCCACTGAGCATTGCTCCTTGGGTACACATTCGGTTGCTATTGATATTTCATTTTGACGGTGTTGTAATCGATGTCTCCACATACATTCTCAAGTACGCTGGGTGGTGCTCTTGGAGCAATATGCGTTCATCTAGAATAAAAATTGTATAAATAGAAACGGGTGAAAAGACAAATATACTACATTGCACAAAACATGTTTATTTGAACTAAATTATTTAACAATATCAGAATCGATTGAACATGATTGGTTCTTCGGTGAAATATTGGCTTCAACAAGCAATTGTAATACTTATACGTACATCATTGCTCATAGATACAAACTAGATACGTATGGAAAAAATCTTAACGTACAATCAACAGAAGTCAATGTTTTCCTTCCTACACAGACATCGTTCAAATATCGTCTCAATCTCATAACTATATGGAATAGTCCATATTTTCTTGATGATATGTTTACATATCTTTTAGAATTGTGCTTCTAAACAATGTTTCTCATAAATTAATAGAAAAAATTCCACAGACAAAACAACTTCTAACAGGACTAAGTTTGTTTATAGCTGATATGAAATCCATTGTTTATTTTATGAGCCTCAATCGTCTTCGTTTTTAGATGTTTAAATTGATTGGCTACGATATATTCTAAGCGTTGTTTGATTTTTTTCATATTACACTATAAGTTCCAGAATTAAGTGTATATCTTATTGCAAGTAATAGTAAATAATTAAGAATTTTTTAAATATATGTATAAATAAGTGATGTCGCTTTTGACTTTTATCAAGATCTTGAGTCAAGATAATAAAAACTGAAAACTTTGCTGTGATCTTGAAATCTTGGGCAAGATCTGATCAAGATCTTTGCGACAGATATATCAGATATATTTAAGACGTATTTTTTCTTGAAAAAATAAATTATCTTGTTAAGATCTTGGCAAGATCTTGCTTGTGTATCCCAAGATTTCAAGATCTTACTTACAAGATGTTTCACTAGGGTGGGTATAGATGTAGAAAGTTTACAATTTCTTTTGACGGTTGTAAATATTATATAAGACAATCCTGAAGAATATTTGAGAATGATCCTTCCAAGAAGATCACAATATTTTTTATAGATTTGAATTTTTTTATAATTTAGAAGCTGATCAAAGTTTTTCATCATTATCGTCATCATCATCACAATCGTCAACACCAAAACAAAAAAAAAAGAAAATTATTTACTTATATTGATAGTAATAATGATGAATCAAATAATTCACCATCGATGGATGCTGCTAATGAATTAGAAGCATATTTAAGTGATCCTGTTAGATCTAGATTTTCCGAATATTTGTCAAATACTCGTTTAAATATTCTAAAAAAAATTAGTGCAACGTATTTTTTCTGTTCAAGCATCTTCTGTGCCAGTGGAGGGCGTTTTTTCGCATGCTGGTCTAATTTTATCTTCACGACAAACGCACATGAATGAAAAATTATTCAAAGATTTGTTATTCTTAAAAATTAATCAATATTTGTTGTAAGCTACCTGATGATCTTAAATGTTTTTATCAGATGCTTTTTGTTGTCAGACATTCATGTTGTTCTTTATTCATTTATTTTTTACTTATTTTTGTTTGTATAGAGAAAAAGTTATTATGCTACTCAATGGCTAATTTTTTCTTAATAAAACTTCTATTGCTCGATCAACACTAGTACTAATAATATTTTCTTCAATATTTTAAGAATACTATGCACCAGGTTCTTTTATTAAGAAAATCTAACAAAGTCACATGTGCTTAGAAGCAGCAAAATCCGAAAAGAAATTTTAAATTTTTACACAATATCTCTTCAAATTACAGTTAGATAAACAAACGCGATTCAAAAATCAATAGAAATACTCAATAATGAAGGACATTCAAATACAACTGTGCTTAGTACAAGTACCAAGTAGGGTGTGGGTGTGGATGTTTGTTCATCATATCTTAATTTCATGCCCACACCCACCCTGCTCTGTGAAACCAACGAATCGTCGTGAATAATTTCGTCACAGGCATACAACTTGTAATCTGGTGAAGCTTACTTTATTCTTATCGTTCTTGTGTGATTGACCAAAATTCTAAATGTTATTTACATATTTCTGCTTTGCATGCGACTTTGATTCCGTTGTGTTGTTGTCTCTTTTCTGATGAATAAATCTTGCAAATGAATAATTATGAGCTCAATAAATAGTGACTAGAGTATGGGCGTGAGCCCTGGTCAATGTTGTCGATTCAACCACACACTCATACCCCTCGATCGATAACTTGTGCTTTACCTGAGATGTCACTTTTATTTTGTTTAAAAAAACGAAACTTGCAACTTTTATTCGTATTTGAAAAGCAAAACTCGACTTTTGTTTTTGTTAATATGAAAACAAGAACTGATTTTTTTTTGTATTTTTTACTTTTTTTTGCAATACACGTTCGAGTTACTAACGCGTATCAATCAGGTTCCAAAGACATGCACAATTGACAACAGTCAAGTTGTGTACTGTACTAAGTAGGTCAATTGAATAATTCATGAGCAGGTAATATTTTAGCCATAAATTCCAGTTGATGTTTCATGCATACAAATTGTGATCCACCAAAGTTTTTGCTTCGTCCTGTGCCAACCAAATATGTCCAGATAACAGCAACTTGAGCAAAACATTCGGCATAACTGGTATCAGCATAAACATCCGGCACACAAGAATCCTTAGAGACTGCTTGATGCCAAGCATTCGATGCGGACGAACCACGATCCAGTGAATGGGCCGATTCGTGAATAAATACAGTCACACGCATATTTGCACCGAAAAACACGATAACATCGCCACTGGAGCCGGCTCCACTACCAATACCTCGACTAGCTGCAACCATGCCTTGATCATAGCGTCGAATTTTGTAGGGACACATACCCATATGCGTCGCCATGTACTTAAAATTCATCACTGCATTTGGACAGATGCATAGTTGTATCTTTTGATGATGATTCTTTTGGATATACGTAATGGTATACGCTTTCGATGGACCTTTGCGACAAGCATTTGTTCGGCATAAAGCGATATTGTGACTGGCTGTATATTGATATGAAGGCAATTTCAGAAAGTCAAAATTGAGTTTATCGAAATTGCTGAACAATGGTCGTTTGCCAAGACCTAGAGTCTGTGTAGTAGCAACTACCAGCAATAAGATACCAACGGTGTAAATATTGATCATTTTTTGTTGTGAAGTGTAACTGTAACACACATATTGATATTATACTGATAAATCCAGTAATATATCCTCCGAAAAAAAAGTTTCAGTCATATTTCAAATATATTGTCACTGTAAAAACACATTTTTTTAAGACTCAATTACTCAGTCTAACAGCGCGTGGAGTTTTCTATCACACTGCGCATTTATATTTTAGTTTGCATTAATGCATTACTTACATTTATTAAGTAGAAATGAAGGCTTGCTAATGTTCAGATTCCCACAGATTTGATTTTGTCACTGTCATCACAATTAATTTTAAAATTTTTTATCACTATAGACTTGCCTTTTTAGAAAAAAACGATTATATATTTTGACAGCAGTCAAAATTCTCCATATTTCTATATATTTGCCACTATCTTGCATTTATCCGTTGCAAAAATAATTTGAATACAGTAAAGACACTTTTAATTGATAGGTACAAAAAATCTACGTTTCTCCGCTACTTTTCTAGTTTTCTTTGTCCAATTATAAGTACTATGAAAACAAACTTTTATCAAAGTGATTATACATGATGATAGAGCTTCAAAATCTCTATCACCCTATATGTTATCATCTTATCTTTCATTTGTGTGTTGAAGAATAATTTGAGTAGTATGCAGGCACACCCCTTGACAAGCCATAAATAAACTGGATTTTTTAACTGTATCATTGGTTTTTTGTTTCAAAACTTTAGAATATTCGAGAGATGTAAAGTATTGTCAGGACAAATGATTACTTGTTGAAAAAGTTATATATATATATTTATAATAAAACTGGAAATAAAACAGGCAATGATTAGGCAAAATCAATATTTTTAGAGTTCGTCTAGAGGAGTGTATACATATCACCTGAATTATTTTTCTGCACATAAATGCAACACAACACCAAAATACATAGAATGATAGAGAATTTGAAACTCTATCGGAATGCAATATCACTTTTTTAAAAGTTTATTTCGACAGTAATAATCATTTTAAAAAGCATAAAAAGCAGCGAATTTTGGTATTTGTCAATTGACAGAGTCTTCACTATACTGAAACTATTTTTGCAACAGATAAATGCAAGACAGTAGACGAAGATATAGAAAGATAGAGAATTTCAACTGCTGTCAAAATATATAATGGCCTTTTTGTAAAAAGGTAATTCTATAATGATAAAAAATTTAAAAACTGATTTTGATGACAGGGACAAAAACAAGTCTGTGGGAGTCTGGACATGAGGATACCTTCATTCTGCTCTATAAATTTTCGGAATGCAAAAGTACAAATTAAGACATAAATACACAGTGTGATAGAAAACTCCACATGCTGTCAGACTGTGTAGTTGAGTTCTAAAAAAATGTGTTTTTACAGTGACAATATATTTGAAATACGGACTGAAACTTTTTCCGAAGATATATATTTTAAAAAATTTATTAAATCCAGAAATAAATTTTTAAAAATTCACATTTACAATACATTTAACTTGTCGAAATTTAAATTTTATTTTAAATTTTGATTAAAGAAAACTTGAATTTATTTAAAATTTAAATATTGAAAAGTTAAATCTAAAATAAATTAAGACGACAATGCCATCTCTATTCAAAAAACATAAGTTTGCTCGAGCTATTAGTGCAAAGTTTTACCTGCTCACGCCCAGATAAAGAGTGTAATGTATGGATATTGTTCTGTGAGTGAAAGTGAATTTTCATGTTGCCTATATATACATTGCTAACTAAGTTTGGCTTTTGCGTATTCATTTGTATACGTCAATCAACTACGAATAACATATTAATAGCATCTTTCTTTGTTTTGCAAACATACTCCCGTCATTTTGCTTGTTCTGTCACGTGTCGCTCGAAGAGTTTAATCGTTAACAACGCAGATTAGACTTGGGCGAAATCGACTTTTTCTGTAATTCGAATTATATCGGAATCGTCGGTCCCAAAGATTAACAGCAATATCCATCTTTTTGTTTCCTTTGATGCAAGTATTTTACCATTGTTGTTTTTCGATGTTAGTTTTAGGTTTTTTTCTGTTACGTTGTTTTTTTTTTCATGGAAAGTAAACTTACCACTACTTGACAACTTGAACGCGAAATGCAGATTTTTTTTCAGCAAATCCTCAAATAAGTCGAACATACAAGAATGAAAAAGAAATTATTAATTCTCCAGATGACACTATAATGTACACTCCATAACATCTAAAAAAATGTACTTGTAAGCGAAAATCATCTGTTTTAGGTAAAATGAAACCGGTAAACAATAAATATGTCTTAAGTGCAACTGGATCTTGTTGAAGAATATTGTCTCAATATGATGTTTTAGCTAAACTCAGTTATCCAATTTTTTCTCAAGACGGTACAGTGAGTTCTGGCATTGCTTAAGTTTTTGTTCACAAAAGAAGTGATATCTTAAAAACCAATATCAAGGTTGTTGTTCACTAATAAGGTGATTTCATTTTATAATATTTCTAGAGTAGAGGAAAATCTGGTGATTTTTGATCAGATCCTGTTTCGACAAGAATGTTGAATTGATATTAGACATTCTTATTGAAAGAGGAATTCAAAAACCTCTACGAAGAGAGAATTTATATCATTGCGCACCATTTGGAAAAGTTGTACAAGAAAAGAACAACAAAAAAACAAAATCCAAGATTTCTTGTACAATGTAAATAGCATAACTTAATAATAAATCTGAATAAAAATGGCAAATTATTAATACAAACGATATATCAAATCAGAAATAACGCATTATCACCTAAATAAAAACAATTAAAATATATCAATATTGACATTAACATTCAAAATTCAATATTAAATCGTGACTTAGAAACATCACAATCAACAAGACAACATCAAGATAATCTGAGATGGATAAATAAATATGATGAAAATTTTGAAAATAAATTAATAATATAGTACAATAAGAAAATAAAGATATTAAAAGAAAAACAAATACAACAGCAATTAACAATATCATTAACAACGAAATCGATAAATTCAAAAATAACATATGATTTATCAAATGTTATTAATATATCAAAAATTCAATTAGGTCAAGAACAATTAAAAATATTATCAAAAGGATTAAAATTCGTTTCAACACCAACAGCTATTGATACAGTAACAACTATTGCAAACTGTGAAAAATCATTATGTACAAAATCAGAAAATAAGTAAAAATACAGCAATATCAGAAATACTAATATTTATTCAAAAGTGGAGAAAACCTAAGAAATTCAATATGAATAAAGAAGAAATTAAATTATTAAAAGAAATAAAGTCAATTGAATATACTGTTATTGTTCTATCTGATAAAGGTGACAAAATAATTATTATGGACAAAAACGATGATATTAATAAGATTGAGGAAAAATTAAAAGATTTGAATATTTATGAACAAGCAAAAAACGATAGAACAACAACAGTTAAAACAGAAATCAATAAAAATGTTACCAACTTATTAAAACAAAATAAATATTATTTAACATCAATTGATGATTTTCCTAAAATTCGTGGTCAACCTAAAATACTTAAAAATAATACTCCAGTGAGAATTGTTACTTGTTCAAGAGATACATTAATGCCACCATTATCTCAATTCATATTCCAAATAATTAAAGAATTAAGAACAACATTAAATGGCGTGATATGTAATACATCAAACGTTGTTACTGGTATTGCAGATATTAAATTAAATCAAGATGATCATTTAGCATGTCATGATATTCAAGATTTATATTAAAACATATCAGTTAGAAAATCCATTCATATTACATTAAAATGGCTTGATGAATCTATGAAATTAGACAATTTGCTATTTATCAAAGCTGATATTAAAGAATCGTTAAATTTAACCTTCAAAAACCAGTTATTTTCAATTTAATGGCAAATTTTGTAAACAAAAAACAAGTTTACTTATAGGTAACACATTATCATCAATGTTAGCCGACATATATATCGATGAATATCAAAAACAACATTTAGATAAAACAAACATTCCAAATAGAATTTGGAGATATGTTGATGATATTTTAATTATTACGAAAATGACTCAACAACAATTAGATAATTATGTAATGATTTATGTAAAACACGTGGAAGAATTACATTCACGTCAGAATTTGAACAAAACAATGAATTAAATTATCTTGATACAACGTTAACAAAAACTAATATAAATAATGAGACGAAACTTTAAATTAGATAGATCATTGAATTATGAATCAGATCATGGAAAATCCATCAAAACAAGCATCGTTAAAAGCATGACTACAAGAATTTTAGAAACAACCCGAGGTGGTGAAGGTCAAAAAAGAAGATTTAAATAAATTAAGAAACATGTTATTAAAATGAAATTATCCATTAAAAATAATTGAAAAATTTATTCAACAAACATGTGAGGAATTTAGATCAAATAAAAGCAACACCAATGATCAAAATAATAGCACATCCAGTCAAAATAAAAATAAAAATAGTGAAGAAATGAATTGTAGTTTAATATTACCATGTGTTCCTGGCATGGAGGTACTAAAAAGAAGATACGAAAAAAAATTTAAAAAAATAAATTGTATTTTTCGTATCGATATAAATTACAATTACAATTTAATCAATCATTAGAAGTTTTATCAAAATCTGTCAGTTACCAAATTTTATGCTCGTGTAAACAAACTTAGGTTGAAAAAACCCAAGTTGGTATAGATAATCGTATGAAACGACATTCACATATTATAAATGATGATGAAGATAATAGTAATTCAGAAATGGTTAAACAGTTTCAAGAAAAGAAATTTCAATGTTCATTTGATACAAATAATTGATTTATCATTGAATAAGAAAAGGATTATTTGAAAAGACGTACGAAAGAAGCAATATATTCAATGATAAATGAATCAATAAATATACATTATGAAATTAATGTAGCCTGGACGCCAATATTGTATACAACAAAACACCAAATTCAATGACAAATTCAATCAGTCCGAGAAAGTTATAATAAATACAAAAGAAATAAATTTCAACGAAAAACAGGACGATGATAGTGATACGAAAAAGGATTCAATCCTTATCTGGCTATTACTATTATCTTCTTGTTTTCCGTATTACTATCAAAAGTATGACTAATTCTAATGAAAGAAAAATTTGTTTATAAGTATTTACATATTATTTCTCTTAATTTTAATATCTAATGAAGTATCTCATCGAGATATGAAACGTCACAATTGTTTTTATGTAAATAAATTATGAATATCAAATCTGATTAAATTTAAAATAAAATAAAATAAAAGAAGATAATTAAATCATGTCAAATATCAGCTGTATATAGAAAAAGAATAAAAAAAAATGCATGTGATATTGCGATTACGCCAGCTTTTTTGAAGAAATTATTCAACCCCAGCAATAATTCATTGATTTATTAGTCGCTCAAAAACATACACTTTCTAGGACTTACTCAGTTGATCAATGATATAGCTGGATATAATTCGACAATATCTTTGGCTGACTTCATCTCTTAAACAAGTCCTTGATGATGTGCAAATGTTATATTCATTTTAACTTTAAATTGGCGATAATTATATTTGTTGTATTAATTAAAACATGCATTGAAGATTCTTCTGATTGTTCTTTTTCTTCTACTAAATATTCTTAAAAAGACAAAGATTCAGAGAATATAAAATAGAAAACTAAAATTAGAAATCGCTCAATACCCTTCTGTCGTTTGATATCATCAATATAATGTGCGCATGAAAAAAACGTTCTGTATTATTATATCATTATTTTCTTTCTTATTTCTTATCTCACAAGGTATTACCATTGTGCTTTTGATTAATGCAATTTGAATTTTTCTTGACAGCTTGAATGATCATTTATCTCATTATCTATCCATTGTAAACTGTAATCGACGGGAAAAGAAATACTGTGCACTACAAGGACAAACTATTTTTTGATAAAACTAAGACGCTTGTTTAACATGAAAGATTATTACGTGAAGGCTTATTCTGATTTACTTTTTTGGAATTTACTGAAGTTTCTTTAATATTTCGGACTTTCTTCCATATCATATGCTTTAAAAACATTATATTTCTGATTGGATTAATTGGAAGAACTAGATCTTAACTATTCTTTCAAACATGTCTGTGCAAAAATTTTGTCAGCTTGTCGTCCTCATATTTCTCCGTGTAAAAATGTCCTCCGCTCTAAGCTGCTGTTGTTTTAAATATATTAGAAGTGAAATATTGAATGAGGGTGTGAGTCATCTATCAATCTTCATCCGCCTCCAAACTCTTCATTAACGAATCATATGGTCAACCAAGCAACAGCCAAACTACGGCCGAAGAATTAGTAGTGAGACTTTCATTTTTTTCTGCAAGCGGAAAATAGAATTAAAATTAATTGATTATAATAAAGTAAGCTAAGATACCCAAAATGCAAAATTAAAGCAGAAGTGTGGGTGTGCGTGTAGATGTGAAAAGGAGACCGATACCCACACACCACATCCATACCCGACTCAGTCACACACATGTCTTGATTGGATTGTGAACAGTTATCGCTAACTTTTTTTGGCAAAGTCTTTGTTATTTTAGATACTTCGCTTTAAATGTTCTCTTCCAAATAAGTTATATATTCAAAATAATTGTCAAGACTACTATCGACGTTTTGGAATTCACAATTGCACTAGGATGAATCAAATTCTAGAGTAAAATATTGAAGCCTCTAAATTTTAAATGACGACTTACTAATAAAGGAAAGAGAACGAGAAGTTTTATCCTATACAAAAGAGAAAAATTTCATCTTTGGTTTTTCCGTCTAAATCGAGAAAGAAAAGCATTGAGCTATTCTGATACTTGTTGACTAGCAGTTAAAGAATATATCCTAACATCTTGCTTGAGTACGATGTAAGATAAAAGCTAAAGAAAAGTCGAAGAAGCTCGGCATTGATTGATATAGAATCAGGTATTTCTTTTCAAAGCATTGACATTTTCTTCCTGAACAATTCAGCAAGTTCCTCATTAGATTTTTTTCCAAATTTTCAATGCATTTCGAAGCGAATGTTGTAATACAAATCCTAGTCAAGAATACAGTAGAATCATAATCATTTAGTTATTTTCCAATGGGAGAAGAAAGAAATTTACTAATTTGTAGTTGAATTACGCCTAAAGATGATTCATTTTTCTTTTTGCGTGATCTATAATATATTCCATGATGATAACTAAACTATTTCTTAACATATCAACATCGTGGTGGTATTTCGTACCATGTGTTCCTGATGCTCTGCTTTAAGACCTCTTCTTTTAGTCGCATTATCAGTATAATGTGCAAAGAAGATTCGGCATAGGTTACAAACAGCTAACTAGGGAACCTTCCAAGGTGCGGGAGCGATTTTCAATCGGAGTTTCGTGCATCTTGTAGCCCGTAGTGAGTTATGCTTACGGTAAAAAAAGTTCGGGTTTCTGGCTTGTTTCTGAGGAGATATCGAGCTCTTAGTGAATTTTCTTTATTGTATGCCTACAGTGGCAGCAAAGCTATACTTTCAAATGTTGACCTGAAACTTTGCCTGCATAAAGGCCTCAGCTAGACTAGTTTGCATAAAAAATTTCAGAAGTTTTNGAATAATAATAAAAAATACAACTTTAGAAAAGCGTAAGACAAAACATTTCTTCCACTGTTCATATTAGATCGTATACAATTCATTGTATTGTCTATCTTTCTGCTTTACATTTATTACTCATTATTAATTGGTCGAGATCTTTCTTCTTGTCTTTTTCTTGTAGACAAATACTATAAGAAAATAGAAAGGCAACAATAGCCTCATCGGTTGGCGCTGTCATTTCATCGTTAATAACATTTATAAGAAAGCAAAGTTTCCGTAGCGATTTTGTTCTATTAATGGATTATAAGCAGGAAGATTTAACGGGTGGTAATCTTGAATGGACGAATAAACCATATGCTAAATATATATTTCGTTTTACTGCTCTTTTAAGTTTTATTTCAACATGTATGAATACACCAAAAACATTTGAAATTTATCCATTTCTACAATATACAACATTTATCATCGACATAATTTGTGCAATTATATTGACCATTGAAGCAGCTGTCAAAATGAAAACTCGAGGAATACTTTTTAATGATTTATCTTATTTACGTGATCCATGGAATCAATTTGATGCGATTATGGTTTTAAACATCTATTTTTCTATAATGTTACAAGTAAAATTTTGCTTTTGATTAATTTTTAAATAATTTTTATTCCTAGATGTTCGAATTGATTGGCATTATAAATAAATATTCATACTTGACGATAATTCGTTCAACACGTTCATTTATTCTTATAAATGTTCTTAAAACATTTCTTAAATTTAAATTACCTAAAAGCCAAATTAAATCTATTGTTCAGTATGTTAATTGTATAAACTATTTATTAATTTATTTTGTTTTTCTGATTGATTAATTTAGACGTTCGAGTTCACAAATTTATAATGTAACGGTGTTTTTTCTATTCTTTATGAGTTTATATGCCATAATAGGTGTACAATTTTTTGGATCACTTACATTCCATTGTGTTAGAAATGGTACAGATTTAAAGTATGAGAAAATCAATTTTATTGTTATTTTTTTTTTGACTTTTGATTTATTTCATTTTCGTTTTTATTATGTTAAGTAACCTGACAAAGTCAGATTTAATGATACCTGATACATATTGTTCGCCAACAGAAGATGGTTTTCATTGTCCAGAAAATTTTACTTGTCAAAAACTTGAAATTCAACGAAATTTACGTGGTTATAATGGTTTTGATGAATTAGCAACGAGCTTTTTTTCGGTTTATGAATCAGCTAGTCAAGAAGGTTGGGTATTTCTTATGTATAAAGCTATTGATAGTCTTCCACCATGGCGTGCATATTTTTATTTTATTACATTAATTTTTTTTCTTGCATGGCTCGTCAAAGTAAGTTTTAAAATATAAAAATAATCTTTATTTTTATTAGATTTAATAATCAACAAAATTGTATAGATCCGATTTTCTTTGAAAGAATCAGATTAGAATTTCAATAATTGTTGAAAGATAATTTAGTTTGAACGAATGGAAACAGAAAGGATGTAGATTTGACTAGAATAGTTCGGAAATACACACAATAAGTTTTATAGTGAATCAAAGCATGAAATACACCATTAGTATCCGTATGATAATAGATTATTTTTATGGTTCAAAAAAACATTTTCAGTAGTCCTTGTATTTTATTGTCTGAACATGTTTACAAATATTTCTAATGTTTAAATCTAAAAAAAAACAATTTTTTTTTTCTGCAAGTTTCGTAAGTCAAGTTTTAACCGATCTAAGACAAACGAGTCTCTATGAAAATAGTGACTGTAAGTTTTTGCGGCTTCTTCTCCTCTGCATTAGTAGAATTATTCTAAAGATCATACGTGAGTTCCACATTTTAGTCCCCAAGGAGTTGCGCTAACAAATTTTAATAGATTTTTTTCATATAATTGTCACCTGAAATACGCAGAAACTCTGCGATGCGAAATATCTATAAAATCAATGTAGAAAGTTTATTTTCGCATTTCTTGATTTCAATCAGATCTTGATAACTCTTGTACACATTGATTTCCATTTTATAGATTTATCGATAAACTATTTCAATGAAAAATTGATCCGTAATAAAAGATGAATTCTCTTGTTTGTTTTGGTTTTGTAACATTGGTATCTGAATCATATGATTCTAATTCGATTTTGTTAATCTTTGCACATTTATTAGATAAATTATAGTATGCATTACTGAATTAAAGGGTTTTCAGTCGTACTTCGATGTGCTATTGACCGTCTTGATATAGCAGATTAATGCACTAGTCTTAATACTCAATAATGATATATTTTTAGAAATATCATGAACTTCATCAATTTGTTCCTCCATAAGGTTTTGAAATACTTTTTTTGTTTTTACAAAGACAAGTGACTCAAATTTGATCAGTAACAAAACTATTTTTATTCAAACATATATGTAGACAGAGACGTTTATCGAAAAATATATGAAATGAAACTTAAAAGCATATATTTTCATACTATTAAAGAAAATATCGATTAAATTTCTTGAATTATGTAATAGACATTTGCCTAAAGTTTTCTCGAGGACTTTTGCGACATCCTCTATTAAAAATATCATCGAACTTATTTCTTTTAATAACTGTCTGTGATTAGTAGACATACACTGAACCGAGAATCCTAGGTTCGAGCTTGGCGCATGCCTAGTGATTATGCATTAATTTGAGAACAAAAAAAAAATACAAGTGTGCTATACAATGAAGTTTTTCTAAAAAAATGTATGTGTTGAATTTTATTGTATAAAAAAGAAAATCTTGATTTTAGAATGTATTCATTGCCGTTATTATCGAAACATTTGCTGAAATTCGCGTTCAATTTCAAGAAATGTGGAGTTCAAGAGGTGCATTATCAGACATTGAAACAACAAAAGTAGCTAAAAGTTATTTTTGAATCTAAATTTAAGCATTATTTTCATATAAGATTCTTCAAAAAGTGGATAATAAAACTTTAAAATTAATCGATAGAGATGAAAATAAAAAGAAAGGTGCAGTACGAACTATTTTTTTAAAAATTGCTCAATCATCAATATTTACAACAATTGTTATGATTGTTGTACTTGCAAATGCAATCTTTACTGCAACAATCAAACACACACACAATGAAAAAATCGATAAAGAAAATCTTCGATTTTATCATAAAATTGAGGTAGAAATAAAATTTTCGAAAACAGAAAAAGATCTTCAATAATATTAGTTATATTTATTTTAGACATTATTTACTTTATTTTTTGATCTAGAAGCACTTTTTAAAATATTTTCAATGGCTTTTAAAAATTATATTCGACGATCAACATATAAATTTGAATTTATTCTTGCAATAGGAACAACAATTCATTGTATTCCAGCATTCTATCGAACTGCTTTTACATATTTTCAAGTTTTACGTGTTGTTCGTTTACTTAAATCAAGTCCATTATTAGAAGATTTTATTCATAAAGTAATCAAAACAAAATAAAAGATTCATTTATTGTATTTATTACTTAAGATTTTTGGTCCGGGCAAAAGAATTGGTATTTTAATTTTATTTACTATGTGTTTATTATTAATAACATCAGCAATTAGTATGCAATTATTTTGTTTCATTAAAGGTCTTGAACAATTTCAAACATTTCCTCTAGTAAGTTTTAGTATTTAATTGTTTTTGTTTTTTGATATTGTATTTATTTAATAAAATACTTTCGCAGGCATTTATGTCTATGTTTCGTATTGCTATGAATGATGGTTGGACAGAAGTTATGTATTTAGCTATGGATGAAATCTATGAATTTGGAATATTCTTTTTATGTCAAACAGCACTTTTCTTTATTTTTTTTCATTTATTAACTAGTTCTGTAAGTTTTTTCAAAAACTAAGCATGAATAAGAGACAGAAAAAAAGATTATCTTTGGTGAATGAAATGCATTTTTATTTGATTAGCTTTATTTATTGATTAGGTATTTATATCAATGTTGCAAGTTTTAATATAAAAAACGGATGCATTTATGTTATATAGTACACAAGATCTAGTAGTATTTATTTTTTATCATATTAGTATAAATTTCGTATGAAAAATCTAGAGAATATTTCGTTGTCTTGTTTTGTTTTTGTCATCTTCTTTATTGTGATTGTTGTTGGTGGTTTTTTTTTTAAAGTTTGTTCTTCGTTTAATGAGTTACATTTTTGTTTTTTTAATTAGATCGTGCTTTCACTTTTCGTTGCCGTCATTTTGGACAATCTTGAACTTGACGAAGATGTGAAAATGATGAAACAGGTTAGTTAATTTCTCTTTTTACTAAAATAAAATTTACAGTTTAGATTGAATAGGTCTTTTTTTGTCTCTTTTACTACTAATGATGTTAACGACTATATATAGATTATTAATTATGAATTAGAACATTTATAAGTATACATTGAATTAGAGAGATTTATTAAGATAAGAGTTGAAGCATTTTGACATATATTAATGTCTTTCTTATAAATGCTAATATACGTCAGCTGACCTATAGCGTTATTTCTCATCTGTTTTAAATATAAGATAAGAACGAATGGAAAGACTTCATATAGACCATCAGGATACAGAATAACGAGCATTAAGATTTTATGCATGATAGAAGAAAAAAAAAAGGGCAAATAAGACGTCATGTCTATTCGAGATATTTAAATTAATAAAAGTTTTCGAAATAATCCGTATGTATACTTAAGAAATATGTATAACTATCTCATTAAGAATATAGACAAGCTTTATAAATATTATTCAAAAATATTGCCTTTGACATCAACACAAAACTTTAAACGAAATACTTTTGCAGTTTCTAGAAAAACATCACTCAACTTTTTCTTTCTTTTATACGTTTACATTTGTTTTGTAATGATTCTTGTAGATAGAGATCTAAATTATGTCAAATCTGGTCATTCGAAGAGTTTGAATAGAAATACAGCATTTTTTCAATATTCGACCACAGAAAATATCATTTATTGACAAGAGTTACTTATGAACAGGACGCTTAAAATTGATCAGCATCTGATTAAATGAAATCTTCGATTACTCTAGTTTAAAACAAGAACAAATATCTACGAGACAACTACAAAAGAATTCCATCATTTAAAGACATTCTATTTTTGAATAGTATGTATAAAGCTTGTCTTTAAGAAGAAAAAAAACCTTACTTGCAAGACAAAATTTGAAAAAAAAGTGGTTTGATAGAATCTCAGGATTGCTCTTTTCTTTCATAGTGATACAAGCCAATTATATATTTTCCAGTCAACTTAGCAATGATACAATTGTGTTTAGAATTAAAGTTATATAAAGAAAACTATTACTTCATATTAGGTCAACTAAACTAAAAACAATAAACCATTTGTTAGAGTATGATTTGAAATTTGGCTTGACAATAGTAAAAATAACCCTTGAAAAAAACGTGAAACAATAGTTCAAATGAAAAATGCTTTACTGTTGAGATCGATATTTATTAGTGTCATGTCAACAAACTTTTGTATGTTAGAAAAATTTCCTGAGTACTGTTTAATAAGAATGAACAGAAAATTGTTTTGCCTATATTCAAAACAAAACCAGAGAATATCTTTTTCTTTGGGCACGTTTGGAATATTTTCTTGCAGGTCAAAAATGAACATACATATTGTCTAAACATTTTCCTATCATTCATTTATTGATAGATTGAGGAAAATATATGTAAATTTTATATTTGATTATTATATTCGAAGTTCTATTGAATTCATATTTTTAGTTAAAATCACGTGAAGCTAGTGCTGAAATTCAACAAAAATTACCATGGCGTTTACGTGTATTTGAACATTTTCCTGAACATCCACAAATGTTCCAATTATCATGTTTACCGGATGAATTTATGATTCCAAAAGTTCGTGATAGTTTTATGCGTCAATTTCTTAATCAAGATCATATTTATTCATATACACCAGAATTTTCAATGAACATGTATAATAAAAGGCATACAATGAAAATATTACATTTGCCAGAATGTCGATCCACAGGTGAAACAATGAAACGATCAGCTGTCACCAATATTATCAAGTTCGTTTGAATGATTATTCTTGTTTTTGTTTTGTTTTCTATATACATATATAAGCATACAAATATTCTAGAAATACAAATAATCAACGTTTATTAAGTGGCGATGCTAATCAAGTACATATAGCAAGTATAAGTGATCATACATTGTCAGTATGTGTACAAGAAAATAATATTCAACTTGATCGAAAGTAGGCAAATAAAATATTCTTTTATTGATTTAAAATTTTTATCGAATTAACTTTTTGTTATTCATATTAAAATAGAAATTCCATGCATCGTTCAGGTTATCCACCAAAATCGGTACATATTATATGTGAAAATAGTGATGTTGGTACATTAAATGGAGGAAATCAAGATGATTATGATATTAAAATATTTCAATATAGAAAACAACAAGCTGAATTAAAACGGTATATAGATCATAATTCAAATGAAATGAGACATATTTATCTTTATGATAATGTTTACAATGTATGACTTAGTTTTATAAAAGTACCATTTCGATCCGAAATTTTTCGTTTTATTTTAAATTAAAATATATTCAATAAAAATCGGTATCGTATTGTTATTATTTTAGAAATCAACAGGAAGAAGATCTTCGTGAAAATCATCCATATTTCGATACACCTTTATTTACAATCGGACGTGAAAGTAATATTCGAAAAGTTTGTCAACTTCTTGTTGAAGCTCGTTATCATATTAATACAAAAGATTCCTTTGGACAAGAATTAAAACTTAGTCAATATAAACAAGGACAGTAAGTTTTCCCTATTTGTCTTACTAAACCTAACGAATATATCGTATGTCTAGTAAATTGCTTGGTTTGGTTACATATCTTGATTGGATTATGATACTTGTAACAATTTTATCAACAGTTAGTATGTCATTTGAAACACCTGTTAATCGAGTTGTTGGTCAACCTTTATTACAAGTATATGATTGATCTATTATTTCTTATTTATAAATATTTATTTTTTATTTGTAGATAACTGAGTATGTATTTGTTATATCGATGAGTGTTGAATTAACATTAAAAATGTTTGCACATGGTTTATTTTTTACACCAAAAGCATTAATTCGAGATATTGGTGGATTTATTGATGTTGCAGTTTTTTTTGTTGGTCTTATTTTTCTTTGTTGGTTACCGCGAAAAGTTCCGGCAAATAGTTTTGCTCAATTTCTTATGCTTCTTCGAACAATACGACCTTTGAGAATTTTTATTTTAGTACCTGATATGAGAAAAATTGTTTATGAAATTTGTCAAGGATTTAAAGAAATTCTATTGGTAAGGAATCAAATTGTGATCAATGCATTTGTCTATCGGAATCCATGATAGATTTTGACCATTTAGGTTTCCTTAATTAGTCACACTCCATAAATCTATCAAATTAATGCAAACAAGAAAAGAATTTTTTGCGTTTATAACCAAGCGTGAACGATACTCTGTCTTTTGTGCAGAATGTTTTTATGGATTAAAAGAGTAGATCTATCGTAAAATTGATCAGACAGAATCAATTATCACGTAAATAGAAATTGCTCGTTGGTTCATAAATTTAGGAGTGCGTACTTCGAAATTTTTCTGACGTACATGAAGTTTCGTCGTTTCCGCCTTGAGTTATTGTAATCATTTTGGGGAATCTACTGGAAAAATCTCATTATCTAAATGACAGATCATTATGAGACAAGAAGCGAGCATATAAGAAAAACTGTTAAGTAGTGTCATACATTACAATCTCTGTTACTAGATTAAAAGAATGTTAATATCTTTCTAGTGATGCTTGAAGCAAGCTTGAAAAGATGCAAGCAATTGTTTCGTCATGTACTTTAATCAAGAGGAGAGCAACTGAAACTTCGATTTTGTAGTCCTTAAATTTGCTTTTTTTTCCTCGACTTCAATACTCAATGATAATGATGCATCACAAAAGCATTTTAGTAGTGATATCAAATCCTTACGAAATATTTTTAGGTGGGTCACAAATAAGTATAATTGATCTGGAAAAAATCTTGCCGATTGCAACACTGATGAAAAGTTAGAATAGATAACAATCTAAAAGACGTTGGGAGATTACAGAAGAGAAAATCGATGAAATTTGTAAAAACGTATGAATATTGAGTGCTCATGGAATTATTGCCATAGTCTTCTTGACTTCTGAGAATAGTACTTAACCAAAACAATAATGGAAATTAATTATTTCAGTAATCTATCATACTATAGGAAAAAAAAAGAAATCATATAAAATGTCTACATAATATTTATGCGAACTTTTGTATTTTTTTTAGGTATCAATTTTATTCGTTGTATTAATGTTTATTTTTGCTATTTATGGTATTCAAATCATTGGTGGACAATTAGGACGTTGTAATGATGAAAAATATTATAATAATAAAGTATAATTAAATTGAAATGTTTTCAAATATTAAATTTTTAGAATAATAATTATTTTTAGAAATTATGTCGTGGAACATTTTGGAGAAAGCTTTATGTATCAAAAATGAATATTGGTGGAGCTGATCCTGTTATGTTAGTACCACGTGTATGGTAAGTTATTAGAAATTTATTTTTGTTTAATTTATTTTTTCATAAATAAATTCTTTTTAGGGCAAATCCACATAGTTTTAATTTTGATTCTATTGGTAGTGCTATGTTAGCTCTTTTTGAAGTTCTTTCCCTTGAAGGATGGCTCGATATTCGTGATATTATTATGGATCGTATGGGTCCAGTAAGTATCATTATTTTTTATATTATTAATTATGAATAGGGATGTATGGAGAGTCTCGTCCTTGGTGCATTCATAAGAAGATGAGCATTGATCTCGACACATGCCCATGTCTAACTAAGACTAGGAGTCTGGGTAGATTTCTAACTATAAGATTACAACTGAAAGATAGCACGTTCATAGCATCTGGTTATGATAGATGAACTATTTCCTTATTACGTTTTCGATACGATTAACTAAAAAGATTTGATGAAGAAATGTATCCGAACATAATCTTGTTCGGATTAGACACAGACAACTATATTCTGTTTCAGATTGTAATTCTATATCGATGTATTTATCAGAGATGGGATCGGTTTGTGTTTTTCAATCTCCAAACCGAACCGAACAAAAACTAATAATAATCTGAGAACTGCATAAAAATCCTATCTTTTGATGACATCGTTTCAAATTCTTTAGAATCATGTTATCTTTGTTCATATATTTGTGTTTATTTGTTCATTAATTGGTTTAAATTTATTTGTTGGTGTTGTTATGGCAAATTATTCAGAAAATAAGGTATTTTGTTTTTTTTTTTGTTATTTATTTTTAATGGCAAAAAATATTGCTTGTTTTTGAAAAATATTTTTTAAGGGAACAGCTTTATTAACAGTTGATCAACGTCGTTGGATGGATTTAAAAGGTCGTATAAAACTTGCACAACCATTACGTATACCACCTCGACTAAAATATAGCAAATTTCGTTCGTACATGTTTGATATAACACAAAATGATTTATTTCAAAAATCTTCTGCTATACTTGTTTTACTTAATTGTGCATTACTTTATAAACCATGGAATGTGAATGATAAAACAACACAAAAATTAGCATTAATATCATCATTATTTACTTTTCTATTTCTTGTTGAAGTTGTGATGAAATGTATTGCACTTAAATTTGTTGATTATTGGCAATCACGTCATAATCGTTTTGATTTATTAGTTACTATACTTGGTATTATTTGGATTATATTAAATATTGTTTCGATGAGCAAAATTGAATTTGTAAGAAATAATTAGTTATGAAAAACAACGAAGCAATTATTTTGTTTTTTGTATTATTCTAGCAAGAATTTAGTAATACATTTGGATTTACGGTCATTATACTTCGATTTTTTACTATTGCTGGAAAACATGTAAGTAGTAAACAAAATAGTGACTATGATTACAATGGTCAGTTTAATAGATGAAATAATCAGTATTTAAATTATCAATGTTTAATTCAAGAGAGAAACAGTGGAATTTCAAAAATTTTCTAGAACTTCTAGGAAACTTTCATGAATCTATCAAAAAAGGTGTGCTAGACGTTCATATAAAGATATGTCGTTTTCTTTTATTCTATTCATTGACCTGTACATACATCAATCGTTGTAATTTATACGATTGTGTCATATCTTCTGAAGATATTTTAATTGAATGGAATGCTTCATGTATCAATCAACAAGTTCAGATTGATTTAGTTAAATAAGGTTAGGGTCGTAAAATTGCAGCATTGAGTTTTGTTTTGTTGAAGATTTAATTTTCATATTCTTCTATGTCAATGATCATCTAATTAATATTGTAATAGTTAAAATATTGTCTATTTATGTAAAAATTTGCTCGCATTCTGAAATATCCAGATGTGATTGAAAACTTGATAGACACTCGCACTTTCAAAATCCGATAACAGAAAAGAAATGTCAATGAAAAGGCGTATATTTATTTCCTCAGTGATGTTTCTATTTCATCAAATCAATATGTTGACTTCCTTTTTTCACTTACGAACATTAAATTGAAATCTGAGGAAAGAATATAAGCAAAGACAATCTACATGTACGACATACATATTACCCTAACTGATGGATTGCAGGAATTTCAGTAAATCCTTCAAATAAACTCATTGACCTCTGAAAGGATCTAATTTTTTAAAATTAGTTGTCAGACATTGTAGTGCTGAGCAGAACGATATATTATTGTACAAGCATATAGATGTGACTAGATTTTGAGTATTAGTCTGTGTGTCAACAATAATGTAATTTTCCGAATCACGCTCACAGTCACACTCAGCATTATGTAATTCTGTTCGGCACTACGATAGTTGGCAACTTGTTTTAAAAAAAAAAATTAAATTCTTTTATGAGGTTAATGAGTTCACTTTAAGGATGACACGAAATTTCATTTGTCTTAACTGACTATTTCATTTATTTTACTGATCAAATTATTCAGCATAAAAAATCTATCAACAATTTATTTTGTTTTTCTTAGGCTACACTTAAAATGCTTATGTTAACAATTATTGTATCATTTTTTAAATCATTTTTTATTATTCTTGGTATGTTTTTACTCATGTTAGTTTATGCTTTTGCTGGTGTTATACTCTTTGGTTGTGTTAAATTTGGTTCTGAACTTGGACGACATGTCAATTTTAAAACAGTACCTAATGCTATTGTTCTATTAATGAGAATAGTTACTGGTGAAGATTGGAATAAAATAATGCATGATTGTATGGTTGTACCACCACGATGTACATATGGTGGATCTTATTGGGAAAGTGATTGTGGAAATTCAACAGCATCGATACTTTATTTTTGTTCATTCTACGTTATAATAACTTATATCGTATTGAATCTCCTTGTAGCTATTATAATGGAAAATTTTTCATTATTCTATTCAAACGAAGAAGATGCATTGCTCAATTATACAGATATTCGTCATTTTCAAACAGTTTGGAATATGATTGATACAGAACGTAAAGGTATTGTACCAACTCGACGTGTTAAATTTTTATTAAAATTACTTCAAGTAAATATTAATTAAATATTTAATTGAACAATATAAATTTGTATATATGTGTTTTATTTTTGTATCATAGGGAAGATTAGAAGTAGATACTAATAAACTCTATAAACATATGTGTTATGAAATTGACAAATTAAATAATGGTAATGATGTAACATTTCATGATGTACTTAAGTAAGTAGAAAATTAATGATTGTGTTCATATGCATCAGTCATTGTGAAATAGAATCTAAAACAAATTTTGACATATTTTAGTAGTACAATTTTAAGACGTTTGACATTTAGATGTGTTAGCGTTTTCATTCTCATGAACGGAGCGCAAAATTGACAACCCTATTTGACAGACTATGAATCATTAATGTCTTCTAATTAAAATATGTGTTAAATAATTTTCTAATACTAGAATGGAAATTGTTCTGTTATTGAACAGATTTAAATTATTCATGAGTGATATTATGAAACAAGATATTTTAGCAGATCAACTACATTCTGAACATCGTACTTTAACGACATAAAGTGAAGTCATTGAAGTTCATGTTGATAGTGAGGAACATATATATTATCATTAGATTTTGTGCCTAATTTCAACGATAAAGGATATCAGATTTGCGTGCTACATTTTTTTTAACACGACAAATTCGACAAGATAGTTTTATTTGATGAACTTCATGCTTGTATCAGTTCTAAGTAAACTGAGAGCTGCTGTTGACACTTATATTAGACTCACATAGAAGTATCAGTAAGACTATAAAATGATTAAAAACATCGTTGCTCATGAACTTTTGAAACTATTTTACCGACATCCTAACAATTTATGAAATGAATATCAGATCGAAATTTCATTATTTTATTTTTTATTGAATATCTAAGTTACGATATTCTATCGAACGGATAATAAAAGTATATATCTCAAAAAATCTCATTATGATTTTGTTCTTTTGTTTTTTAATTTTATTTTATTAGTATGTTAGCTTATCGTTCGGTTGATATTCGAAAATTCTTACAATTTGAAGAATTACTTGCTCGTGAAGAACTTGAATCTTTAATTGAAGAAGAAGTAGCAAAGTTAACTATACGTAATTGGCTTAATAAATGTTTAAGACGAATTAAAGCAAAAGATCACACAAATGTTGTTAAAAATCTTCAACAAGATAATGATTTGTCATTTTTTCGTGAAGCACAAGGAATAACAGCAAATGAATTATCAAAACGAACAACAGATAATGTAGTTAATGAAGATGAACGAGAAACGAAAAATTTCGATGATCGACAACAGCAAATACAAAAAGATGTTGGCACAAAGAAACTTGATAGACCAACAACATTTCCAATAGCTTCAGATGAATTTAATGTAGGATATCCTATTTGAATTTCTTTAATTCCATATCTGTTACTTTTTTTTTTTTTAATTAAAGAATTCAAATTATGTAACACAAGCAGATGTAAACGATATATCTACTGAATCTAAAGGAATACGACGATCCATTCAACAGCAAATACGACCAAATATTGGTTTTACATTAAAGAATGAAGAATCTTATTCATGGGCAACAAATCATTTTAATCAAGGACGAAAAGATTTTGAATCATGGTGGGCTAATCAGTTTTAAATGTAAAGTTATGCATTAAAGAATAAATAAATAAATGTCTACTTTCGAGTCGATTATATTCAAGTATTGCGGTGCTTTATGTACTCGTGTTTGGGAGTGTGGGTGCTGGATGCCGGTCGTCTAGAGATAAATAGACTGATACCCACACCCTATCCTTACAACAAAAATGACGCTTTCAAATAGATTGCAACAAGCTCTACGGAAATTATGCACCTTAGTTGCAGTTATTATTCAATATTTACATACGTGTTCTAGAAATACCGCGTTACAGAATTTCATAGGCATCTGAAATATCAGATGTTTTTACAGTATCAAGCGTTTATCACTGATTTTGTTCATAGATATGTACATATTTGGTTACATTCAGGATTATTATTGAATTCTGAACAAAATGAAGTATTTGGATAATCAAAAGTCCAACTTTGATTTTTCTTCAGGTATTTGTGAGGTCAAAAACTGTCGAAAATAAGTCGTTTGATGTAGAATCCGATGCTGGTGATGAATATATAGGGTGTCCAGTAAGTAACTCCACAAAGAAAAAGTTGAATATCTTCATTACAACTCGACCAAACGGGCTCATTTTTTTACCAAGGATAGAGGCATGTTCACATTTCAAATCCATACGGACAAGGTTAGTGGGAACCTTTGCAAAGTATCACTATTGACCTCAACAAGAAAATTTTACTTGTTCAAAGATAGAAAAAGAAAACAATATACTTACCANCAAAAACCACGGTTTTTGGTCGGAAATCCGGTTTTAGGGATCCATATTACACTTTGAAAAAAAACTAAGGTGATATTCGGAATCAACTCGTCGAGCTGCATCAGACTTATCTGAAAAGAGTCATTTTTGTGCAAGTCAATTTTTGATAGAATTAGGCGGGAAACCACCGATCATAGGTTTTTGGCCGAAAAATCCAGTTTTAGGCATTCATATTACATTTTGAAGAAAAAGTAAGGTGATATTCGAAATCAGCGCATCAAACTACACCGAATGATATGTAGCGCAACATATTTTTCAAAAAAAAAATTTTTTTCGAAAAAAAGGCGAAGGTCCCCCCAGCTTTTTTCGAAAAAAATTTTTTTCTTAAAAAACCTTTTATTTTTCTTAAAAACAGTTTTCTGGGCGGTATACTGTGATTTCTAGTCAAATGAAAGTCATTGCTAAGCAAAAAAGCCGCATGTCCGCCTGCTATGTGAAAGCTCCCCACTGTGTGTGGGTGTGGGTGTGGGTGTAGATGAAGAGAAGAGCTAAACCCGCACCCGCACCCACACCCATCCACACCCACACCCACACCAACACCCACACCCACACCAACACCAACACCCACACCCACATCCACACCCACACCCACACCCACACCAACACCAACACCCACACCCACATCCACACCCACACCCACCCACACCCCAACCGTCATTCACACCTTCTCTCTCGCAATTCTTGATAGTCCAAAGTACTAACAACTATCAGTAGTACACATGGAAACTTATCTCAAAGTGAGAGATATTGCTCAAACTCAAAGAATCTGAAATTATCTTATCTTTTCTATGTTCCTAGAAAACCTTCGCCTTAGTCCTTCGGGACATTTTCATACGAACAAATCTATCAGAATATTTTTGGAATAAAGTAATGTTTTCTCATGAACGATATAGTGTTAAGAGCTGAAATTTTAAACGCAGTCCCAAAGTAAAGCCTTTTAAAAATGGCAAAAAAATCGTGGATTCATCTGTTATAGTAATCGAGAAATGAAAGAGGCAACATAACAAATCTGTCGGAACATTTACTGAAACCATAGCTACTTACTCTTATTTTTACTTTTTTTTAATTTAATGGTTTCTGAAAAAAATAGATTTTTACCAAAATATTTCTGATCCCTTTTATCTACCAAATTTTAAAAGATAATCAGAGATTACTTCAAAATTGTCTTTAGTAGCTGAAATTCAATCTGTCGAAACATAAAATGGCCATTAATGTGTTTAAGAAGTTTTTTCAATATTTGATGGGTATATGAAAATCACAGCTCCATTTAACTTATATAGTCACAAAAAGGAAAGTATAGGCAACAAGGTAGCTATACAAAATGAATTTTATCGAATGAAAGTTATGGAAAAGAAAAGCGATTTTTGTCGATAGAGGGATACAACTCAGTGATTTTGCCTTTTTCGTTTGAAGATCCTAAAGCGATGCCAGCTCAAAGATCTAATCGCATGTTTGGTAGATAACCTCAACTATAAGAATTTTACAAAACAGTTATCAAAATCCAATGAGTAAAAGCTGAGACATGAACGCTTTACTGTTGGCGACCCATGAATACAATATGAGCGTAATTCACTCATGTATGCTCGAATTCAAACAGAACGCAATTCTGTACAGCTTAGTATCAAAACTCGGAACTGCATTCTGGTTAGCTGCATGTCTAGAAGCTAAACAAGTCTTTTCAGTAAATAGGCACAAGTTCCTACTTTCTTCAATAATCCTTTCTGTTATGAAAAAAATTCAAGTTGGAAAATTTGAGAAAATGATCGCAGATTCGGATTTTGGACCCTAATTATCTTCGGTTGAGTGCTTAAGCGTCCCCCCACACTCACATCCACAAGTATCAGTAAGTTCAACCCGAACTTGTACCACGAAACTTTAACTCGATTCATACTGGAACTTTCGAGTTTGAGATTGATCGAGTTCGAGCTTTTGGAGTTTGAGCTCGATCAAGCTCGAGCCTTTAGAGTTTGAGATCGATCGAGTTCGAGCCTTTAAGGTTTGAGCTCGATCGAGTTCGAGCTTTTAAGGTTTGAGCTCGATCGAGTTCGAGCTTTTAGAATTGAGCTCGATCGAGTTCGAGTATCTATATTCGAGTTCAAATCGAGTCGAGCCCAATATTTTCGAGCTCAAACGGTTTGGGTTTGGTACATGTCTAACTCCAAGTGATTCGATGCGATTTTGCCGAGTGAAATTAGTTATCTTCCCATTGAATCTGTCTGTAAGGGATAAGGCAAGGGGAGCCGGAAAACTTCGATTTAAAACTTACAGTCACTATTTTCTTTGAAAATTAGTTTGATTTCCACAAAAGCAATGTAGATGTGAGCTAGTGCTTTTGTATAATTACTGTATTGATTAGAAGAAATATATGACTAATTTGAAAGTTGATTCGACTGTTATAAAGTTAAGAAAACGAAAAATTGTTCTTGCCGGTATACCGATCGGTCTAACCATTTCTATCGATAGCAGTACGAATAAGGGGAAAATCTTATCATTTCCAACTCTGAGCTCATCTATCGTGTCATCAGAAGACAGTTCGACGATATAGATATTTTTCTCAAGTAACATAACATAACCATCTATTTTCTATTGTTAGTTGGAAATTGACTAATATTTTATTGAAGAATTTATCAACACATTAATTCTAAACAAGGAAAATGTAAATAAAATTCCTTTGGATGTACTGTAATTGGAGATGTAGTAAATTCTAAAATTCGTACTTTGGTACAATTATGACGAGTTGAATGACGTGTAAAATTGTTTGTTACAGTAACTAAATTATCATAGGAGACAGCAAGATTAATGAGATTTGGTAAATATGTGTTACTATCAACCAAAAATTGTTCTACGTAGATAGCACGTTCAAAATGAATTGTCAAAGAAGTAAGATGATGAAATTCAATGATTGGTTTCATTTGATTATTATTTTCGTCTGTGTTATTGAAATCTCTATTATTTAAAACGGTAAGCTCAGTAATAAGTGGAAATGCACGAGCAATGCGATGAAAAAATTCATGTGTAAATGGATAAACTCTATCTATCAGAAATAAAATTCGAACATTTGTGTAAAAACCTCCTAAAAATCCATAGCTGATAATATACATATCAGTTTTATTACATGGAAGTGAAAATATATGAGATCTAGCCTCATTATTTGGATAAGAACTTATATAACAATCAACATGACCATATCGCCAATTGAGAAATGTACGACGAAGATCATTGTTTGATTGCATGTAGATTTCGTTACTCATATATTCATTATATGTGACTATATTGAATTCAAATATTTGAAGTTGTGGTAAATAAATAAGCATTTCATTTTCAAGATGAATACCATCGATAAATGTTGATCGTTGATAAACATTGAGAGATAATATCAGTTTTTCGAGATATCTCATTTGATGAATCAATGGCAATATATGACTATCGTATTCTTTTGTTTGTCGATATGAACTTAATGAAAAATATTTCATATTTGATAATGTTTTCTAGAATAGAATTGAAAAAAAACTAGTTATTAATTTATTTGTATTTATTTACTGTTTTACCAAATTTTCTGTGGTCAATATAGAATTCTCAATTTTTTTAATTAAAATACATAATTTATATAGTTGATGAAGACGACCATCTAGTAGACATAAACAATCATCAAATGTATCTACAGTAATGCTTAAATTGACTAAATTTGATGAATAACAAGTCATTGAAGATAATCCATAAATGGATATTAATGTACGACTTTCAATACTATTTTGATTAAAATCAAGATCGATTAAATTTAAAAATATATTGAAGATTCGTGTAAGCAAATTTTTCCCTAAATCAATACAGGATAATGATGTAAATCCTTGTTTATCAATTGTCAAAATAAGATGTTTAATGTTGTATTTAAACATATTGATTAATGGCGATTCATCTAAGAAATAATTCATAGAATTTTTCATTTGAATAATATACAAGGAACAAAAAAAAATATTACCAGTAAAATGACGTAATACAAAATCTTCATGAATTTTCGTAAAAGTAAGCTTATATAAGCGAGGATAATCACTTGAAAGAAGAATGCGTTCCATAGACGACGGTTCAAGAATCAAACATTCTATATATTGATGAATTTCAGGTAAAATATCTAAACAATATCGATCGATTATTGAATCAGGTAATGAACAATATTTGTTTGTTTTTGTTAATTGAATAGAACGAGTATATATTGGATCTCGTACTAATCTATTCAATCTTTGATTTACACCCACAAATGAATAAAGTACATCAATATTATTAAGCTTATTCCAAATCATTAAGATCATTTCATCCGGAAGATCATTTATACTAATAAATGAATGACTCATAATCGAACTTGAAAAGATATCAATAAATTTAATTATTAATATATATTATTTAATTCAAATGATTAATGATCAATTTTGACATATAAAATAATAATTTTTCTATTCGTAGTATGACCGTTACTTCTATATGTTATACATTTTGCAGTTTGACCGAGTCTCTGTTCAATATACACACAATATATACGAATATATAGTCAGTAGCATAAGGTCAAAGGTCATGTTTGAAAATAAAAATAAACTTTTGGCAAGGTCATTAGTCGGTTATAAGGTTAGACATATAGAATAAAGAAGAATTATTAAATGTTTTCAATTGATTTCGTCCAGTGATTGCACTATTGAACAGATGTATATGTTGCTAACATAGAATAAAGTACAGTAAAATATCTCTAATGTGATCATCATTGAAACTAGCTGAAATTCTTCACTTTACAAAGATGCTCGTTATTCGAAGGTTTTCAGTGTGTTTTGTGCAAACTAACAGTTTTCATTCACCATAGTTTTTCTTCTTCCTTGCAATAATTTATTCATTCACAAATGATTTGGTACGCATGCATTAAGATACAGCCTGGTGCACTATAGTAACTAAAAGAACGTATAGACAGGCCATCATAGAGGTTTCCGATTTCAATTATCAACGCATCCAGACTTTGAACAAGCATCTATTATCTTTAGTGCACTGAATATCAAGTTATATATCAACATGTCATTGCTCTTTTCTTTAGTACTTAATTAATAAAGTAATAATAAGGCCTGAGACAGACTACAAAAATAAAACAGTTTTAATTTCGCTTTAAAAACAGACCCGTACACACTACGAGAGTAAATAAGCCAATGAAAGAATGAAATACGCCTCCATAATGTGTAAAAAATAGTCATGCATAATTTTCGATCGATCAGAGGTGTCGCTACTCTTTGTGTATGATTTCTATTAAAACTTTTACGAAAATGATTACTAAATTAAAATAAATAATTAATTAATCACTGATTAATTATCAGTGCGTAGAATGGTGTGATCTGATCTTCTAAAAAAATAAACTATGTCATAAAATTATATTCTCAAGAAATTCTATGATTTTTTGGAAAAAAAATTCAGAAATAAGAAATTAATTCCATCAATAATTTATTAGAGAAAAAAGTTACTAGGCAAAGTTTTTAGAATATATTTTGTAAAAACTATACCGCAAGTGCTTCTCTAACACTCACAACACTTTTTGTTTGCATGTTACAACATGGTTTCTTATGCGTGAAGAGTGGTAAATCCCACTCAATTTTCAATCTCAACGAAAAAAATAGACATTTATTGACGTCACCAGTGTTTCTCTTATTGGTTAAACGCCTTGAATTTCTATTGGCGCATTAACTTTAAGTCATCTCAAAAAGATGACTTAATTCTGTTTTAATTTTTCTGGCAACTTCATTGGTTAATTCAGTTTTAATTCGCGTAGTCTGTCTGAGGCCTAAGGATAGATTCTAGATCGTTAGGATTGGTGTCAAGCATGTGATTATTTAAAGATTCATGCAATTATTTTCAGTATTTAAACACATTTTTCAATGTCTATCAATTATAAAAACTGATGATTTAGAATAACCACCATTTCATATTTGAATTGAGTTAACATACTATATCAAACTATGATACAACATTCTGATCTTATCAGTAAGAGAACTAACAATCAGTTTGTTGAAAACCGAATAGAACTAGTTCTGAGCCATATTCTGTTCACAATTGTATTTATATTTATGAATTGATTCAATGATTTGTCTTAGGTTTCTTGTTTTTGTAAGAACAACGATAAAATATATTGAGAAAACTATGATCTAAAAGATAAAAAAATAGACAGAACAAACAGTAATCTTATTGTCTGACACATAAATTTATAAATTAATACCATTGATTAAGAAAAGTAAATATAAACCTAATGAATGGTTAGGTATTCGGCTTGTCCAAGCGTAACGGTGTGACGTTTTTGACATACTATTTTCCAATTATCTCGAGAACTTTAGGAGCTAGAAGGTTCGTTCAAGTGCCATTAGACGCACCTCGCCATGCTCTATTTATGCTATAAAAATGAGTAGTTTTCGTCGAACTCTCTGGTCTCTGGACAGATTTTTTCATCGCGTAACAGTGTGACATAAAAGGACCCTGAATTTGAAGTGTTTGCCCTTAAGCCGTGATTTCCTGCGAAAGTCGCTGTCCAAATAAAATGCAACAAGAACGAATTTTGTAGAGCTTTTAACGAGCTTCACAATGGTTAAAAAAATTTGTCCTAACATCTTTTCTTCACGTAAAAAATGCGAAAAACAAACGTAACGGTGTGACACCTTTTTTTCGAAAATTCATGTGTTCTTTTTATTTGATGTGACTATGTCTCAACACATTGTTTAAACGTTTAAAGAGACATTTCTAAAACTCTAACCACTAAAGATAGCATCAGCATATATGGAGACCTCTTAAATCTCTGTTGAAGTGAACATTTCGTGCTTCAATAAACTATGCTTCTGCTATAGGTTTAAGGCACACTCAGAGGCTCTTTGCCACTAAAATTTAAGTGCATACTATCTTAAACTTTAGTGTTTCTCCAGCTCGGGACGAAGACCCGGCCTCCTTCGAGCTGGGTATTTTTTTTTTTAGATGTTTCTATTAGTAAATTCTTTTTCTACTATTTTCTTTTCATCTTATTGTTTACAACAAAGTCTTAATTAAATGAAACTCCTTTCTACATTTCATTGAGTATCTAAATACAAACATAATCATCAAAACAAAGTCAAACAAAAAGTTCTAAAAAATCTACATGTTTACTATCAATATGTTATAGTTTTTTTCTGAGAACACGCCGAATAATAACGAAATTCTAATTCATCGTCATCAATCACCTTAACTGAATGCATTTTTAATGTTTCTCGAATAGATTTTGCCGTTTTGAAAAGATTTTCAAGTTTAGTTTTCGAGCCATCAATATCATTTCTCGTGATTTCGATCAAAATTATTTTCTTAGTTTTTTTCTTTGCAAGTGTAATAAAATCTTCAGCTGATCAACACACTCCTCCTGCCAATATAGCTGACCACACAAGACGTTTTACAATACCCCCAATCCCGTCAACTACACCCTTTCCATGAGAAGTTGCAAAAAAATGCCAACTCAAATTTATTTTTCGTTCACTAGCAATTCGTGTTAAGTTTCGAAAATGAAAACGTTGTTTAAACTGAGAAGCAGCACCATCTGAAAAACAATTTATTTCTTCAACGTTTGGAAGAACTGTTTCAATATGATTTAAAATGATTTTCAAAGCAGAATCAACAACAAATTTATCGTGTGTTACATCTAACGATGGTAGAGCAAAAGAAAAACTTTCACTTTTTGACCACACAAAAGCAGTAAATATACTCAACGGTTTCGTGTTCCAATGAGCCTTCTGGATCTCGTCTTGTTCTTTCATATTGAAATTCTCTGCAAAATCGACTTGCAATACTATCTTTTCATCACTAACTTCGGTTTTTAGCTTTTCAAAATACTTTGCCTGTTCTCGTTTAATGTACACATGAAGCAAAAAATATTCAACTTTTGACTTCAATAACAAAACTGCTTCATCAACAGTTCCTGAAAATTCTTTTTTTTCTGCACGACCATTTTCGTTCATCTATTGTGACCAAGTAATCTTAACGCTGTCGTCCGTAACGTTTTCTTCAATTTTTTTCTGTAAAAAAATCTTTACAAAGTGAACAACTACTGAACATACATTCTTCGTTATTAGTACTACAAACTAAACTATCGGTAAATGTTTGCAAAGATGAGCAGCATTTGCCAGCAACATATTTATCAAGAGCTTTTAAAAGTAAACAAACATTTTCATGATACAAACACAAGCAATTCCTATGTGTTAAAGCAGCTTTTGGAATAACAAAAGGAGGTCTTAATTCAGCAAACGAAGATCGACTTATATAAACGTTGTCATTCTCTTCTTTAAATAATTCATAAGTTTCACGTAAATTATTAAACAAAATTCGTTTCTGATAAGTTACTTTACTTCCATCGTCCTCTTTAATAACAATTGTGTCCTTTTTACCTGGTAATTGATATGAAATATTGTCTCGTAAATAGAAATTATAAACGTCAGTTTTTAGTTGATCAGCAAGTTGAACTGTAGTACGTTGATGTTTGGATTTAGGAATCAAACCAAATGTTTCAGCAAGATGCTGAATGATAACTTTTTTCTTTTTATTACATTTTGCGAGTGAAGAATTTATTTTTTTCAATGCCTTACCAAATGATTGACGACTTTTGAAGGAACTTGGAGGAGGTTTATTAACTAAACATTTTTTTTTATTTTCTCGAGATTTTTGTTTACGAAGTTTGTTTTTGGTACGAAATTCAGCTAAGCTTGCTCCTGTCAGCTTTTGCTTTTTTGAATTATAACGAACACGATCTTTTGCTTTCACTGCTTCATATTTAACTTTATCTTTTTTGATTTTCTCTCGATATTTTTTCATTCTTTCAGCATTAGTCATAGACATTGTCAAAATGACGATAATAAGAAGAAATAAATACTTACCTTGATGAAAGTGATACAAAAGATACTTGGCAATAATAATTATATGAAAGAAAAATTTGGAAATCTTTTTCCAGAACTGTTTCTTATTGGATAGATATAACTGATTCTCCTTTTTGTTTCCAGCTATTTATATATTGTGAACTATCAAAACAAAACGGGCGGTGAAAAGAAGAAAAGAAAGGAAAATGCTGACTGATTTTATTTAACGACTTTTTTCTCATTACGAACGGACGGCGAAAGAAAGGAAAGAAAAAGAAACTAGACTGATCATTTGAACCGTTTATTTTTTCGTTTTGAACGACTATTGTCTGTTCAAAAAAATCTAAACAACACGTCATTCAATGCGGAATCTGATATTGATTCGGAATGTGTTGCTACAATAGTTAAAATTAACCGTAGCAGGAGATATCGAAAGATACAATAAACATTAAAGATTTTTTGAAAGATTTATCGGTAGATAAGTAAACTAAAGGTCAAATCAGGTTTAATTTGTAACCAGAGACTGTCTGACGTTAGTACTATTGAAATTATTGTTGAATTATATGAACTAGGAATAGCAGCAAAAATGAAGTTTTTGTCACACCGTTACGTTTATCTCGCTCCAATTGAAAAATTTTTCAGAAAAAAGTAGTGCATCAGAATCGCCGTAAAAAGTTAGTAATAGTCCACTACTTTATTCACTGGTATTTAGTAAAGGACTCATAAAAATTTTAAAATAAGGTCTTTTCGTAACGGTGTGATAGCGATATTGATCAAGTATTGCATTACGAATATCTCAAGGTGAAGGATAGGATAAAAGTTGGTTCTTTTGCCAAAAGAAAGGCCGTCCATGATAGTTTAGAGAACACCTGAAAGCGCGAGTTCAAAGCTTGTCATTAATGTGTACGGCTGGTTTCGGAGTAGGAACGAAAAAATTGCTATCAACAGTGATAATTGACGATTAATGTATACATGTTTTAAGACTCACAAAAATAATTTCTTGAATAGGAAAATATATTTTCGTACACTTTCGAACATGCTCTACAACATGGCATAAACGTTTATTCAAAGTTTTGAAATAAATACTTAATGCCTGAAGTGTCGCGTTACGTGGACAAGCCGATATATAGTCCGCCTAATTTTTCTGATATTCATATTTCAGTTAAACTGCAACCAAGAGATCTGAAATTTTGACCATAAACTATTCTCCTTGATTTCTTAATACATACATAGTTTCAGCGCAAAATTCAAATTTTGATTTTTCTTCATGGTCCAAAGGGGGGCTACGGCAATGTCCCTTAGAAGGCATTGCACGTAAGCCACGCCTACCCTTGCTCAATCGATGTCACCGATTTGACTGGTATTTTTCTAGTTAGTAGCTCTAACAAAGTTAGGAAGAAACTGAAAATTTCTGCTCAAACGGGATAGCCAATCTGGAGATATACACGTTGCAAGTATGAGGGAGTAGGCTATATTTTAAGCATCTTTCTGCACAAAATGCTTCAGTAAGTTTTCATTTTCTAAAGAACGACAAGAAGTATAATCGAGATTTTTTTACCATATATACTATTGACCATGAGCTATCTTTTGATGGCATCAAAAGTATCTTATCATAAGATAATATTTGCTTTATAGTATATGTCATTTTCAAATAATAACGGGATCCCAGTGTATAGGGCCAATTGGTCAAATCAGCGCCGTAGAATTAATCGAGACTAGTCTCATTTGAAAGAGCAGATCACAATGCGTGGAATGACGTTTTCAGAATTTTGTGGAAATGAACTTTGGTAGCAAAAATTTCTTGAACAAGATTAGAAAGGCCAGATTTGGGGTCCGATTCTCACTGTGAAGATTAATGATTTATTGCCAAATGTTCAATCTAAGTATTTCAGATGAAAGTCCGTGCCGAAAAACCTCTAAATTCAAAATTTCAGCTCATTTGAACATGTCTGTGAAAAATTGTGAAAGCTTATTTTTGTGAAACTTTATGGGACAGCATATAAAGGGTATTCCAGAAGTTCTGTAACGATTTGTATAATAAATTTTTCTGTAGTAAATCGCGCGGTTGAAAATTTGACTCTATAAAGAAAAGATGCAGTAAAAGACGCTCTACAAAATGGCTTTTGATTGACCCCGCTAGCTCATCTAGTAAGAAAGTTATAGGCTTAGAAAGGTGCTTCAGAAAAAAGAAAAATTAACCATGAACCCNGAACACGTCGAATAATAACGAAACTCTAATTCATCTTCATCAACCACTTTAACTGAATGCATTTTTAATGTTTCTGGAATAGATTTCGCCGTTTTGAAAAGATTTTCAAGTTTACTTTTCGAACTATCAATATCGTTTCTCGTGATTTCAATCAAAATTATTTTCCTAGTTTTTTTTTCTTTTCAAGTTTAATAAAATCTTCAGCTAATCGACACGCTCCTCATGCCAGTATAGCTGACCACACAAGATGTTTTACAGTACCCCAAATTCCGTCAACTACACCCTTTCCATGAGAGGTTGCAAAAAAATGCCAACTCAAATTTATTTTTCGTTCACTAGCAATTCGTGTTAAGTTTCGAAAATGAAAACGTTGTTTAAACCGAGAAGCAGCACCATCTGAAAAAAACAATTTATTTCTTCAACGTTTGGAAGAACTATTTCGAAATGATCTAAAATGATTTTCAAAGCAGAATCAACCACAAATTTATCGTGTGTTACATCTAAAGATGGTAGAGCAAAAGAAAAATTTTCACTTTTGGACCAGACAAAAGCAGTAAATATACTCAACGGTTTCGTGTTCCAGTGAGCCTTCTGAATCTCATCTTGTTCTTTCATACTGAAATTCTCTGCAAAATCGACTTGCAATACTATCTTTTCATCACTAACTTCCGTCTTTAATTTTTCAAAATACTTTGACTGTTCTCGTTTAATGTACACATGAAAAAAATATTCAACTTTTGACTTCAATAAGAAAACTGCTTCATCAACATTTTCTGAAAACTCTTTCTTTTTTCTGCATGACCATTTTCGTTGATCCATTATGACCAAGTAATTTTACCGTTACCGTCCGAAACGTTTTCCTCAATTTTTTCTATAAAAAAATATTCACAAAGTGAACAACTATACTGAACATACATTCTTCGTTATTAGTACTACAAACTAAACTATTGGTAAATGTTTGCAAAGATAAGCAACATTTGCCAGCAACGTATTTATCAAGAGCTTTTAAAAGTAAGCAAATATTTTCATGATACAAACACAAGCAATTCCTATGTGTTAAAGCAGCTTTTGGAATAACAAAAGTAGGTCTTAATTCAGCAAACGAAGATCGACTTACATAAACATTGTCATTCTCTTCTTTAAATAATTTATAAGTTTCACGTAGATTATTAAACAAAATTCGTTTCTGATAAGTTACTCTGCTTCCATCATCATCTGTATTAACAATTGTGTCTTTTTTACCTGGTAATTGATATGAAATATCGTCTCGTAAATAGAAATTATAAACGTCATTTTTTAGTTTGTCAGCAAGTTGAACTGTAGTACATTGATGTTTAGATTTAGGAATGAAACCATACGTTTCAGCAAGGTGCTGAATGACAACTTTTTTTATCACATTTTGGAAGTGAAGAATTTGTTTTTTAATGCCTTACCAAATGATTGACGACTTCTGACTGAACTTGGAGGAGGTTTATTAACTAAACGTTTTTTTTTATGTTCTCGATATTTTTGTTGACGAAGTTTGTTTTCGGTACGAAATTTAGCTAAACTTGCTCGTGTCAGTTTTTGCTTTTTTGAATTATAACGAATACGATCTTTTGCTTTCACTGCTTCATACTTAACTTTATCTTTTTTGATTTTCTCTCGATATTTTTTTATTCTTTCAACATTACTCATAGTCATGTGAAAATGACGATAGTAAGAAGAAACAAATAGTTACCTTGATGAAACGATACAACAGATATTTGGCAATAGTACTTATATGAAAGAAAAATTTCTAAATCTTTTTCCAGAGCTGTTTCTTACTGGATAGATAAGATAGAACTGATTCTTCTTTTCTTTTTCAGCTATTTATATATTGTGAACTGTCAAAACAAAACGGACGGCAAAAGGAAGAAAAGAAAGAAAAATGCTGACTGATTTTATTTAATTGTTTTTTTTTCTCATTATGAACGGACGACGAAAGCATGGAAAGAAAAAGAAAATAGACTAATCATTTAAGCCGTTATTTTTTTCATTTTGAACGACTGTTGTTTGATCAAAAAACATGAACAACACGTCAGTCAATGCGAAATCTAATATTGATTCTGAATGTGTTGCTGCAATGGTTAAAATTAACCGTAGCTGGAAACATAAGTATTAAATATTTTTTGAAAGACTTGTCGGTAGATAAGTAAACTAAAGGTTAAATCAGGTTTTATTTGTAACCAAAGACAGTCTGACGTTAGTACTACCGAAGTTATTGTTGATTTCCATGATTTAGCAATAGTATCAAAAATGAAGTTTTTGTCACATCGTTACGTTTATCTCCCTTCAGATGACACATTTTTCAGAAAAAAAGTAGTGCATCAGAATCGTCGTAAAAAGTTAGTAATAGTCCACTACTTTATTCCCTGGTATCTCTTAAAGGGCTCAGCAAACTTTTAAAATAGGGTCTTTTCGTAGCGGTGTGACAGTGATATTGATCAAGTATTATATTAGGACTATCTCAAGGTGAAGGATAGGACAAAAGTTGATTCTTTTGCCAAAAGAAAGGCCATTTATGATAGTTTAGAGAACACCTGAAAGCGAGAGTTCGAAGCTTGTCTTTAATGTGTACGGTTGGTTTCGAAGCAGGAGAGAAAAAATTGCTATTAGCGGTGTGATAATTGAGGATTAATGTATACATTTTTTAAGACTCACAAAAATAATGTCTTGAATAGGAAAATATATTTTCGTACACTTTCGAACATGCTCTACAACATGGCATAAACGTTTATCCAAAGTTTTGAAAAAAATACTTAATGTCTGAAGTGTCGCATTACGCGGACAAGCCGTACTACGTTCATCTATTGAAAAGAATGCAATGACGTTTCGTTTCAAAAATAAGTTAGTTTTTATTAATCATCTCTTTGAACACATAAACAAAGTAAAATATCTAGGAAATTTACCGAGAAAAACGATAGATATTTATTTCTTCACATCGAAAGATATATTTTCACGAACTGATAAAGTAAAAGATTCAAAAAAGCGCGAACATGAAAAATATACTTCACTGGTAACAAAACTAAAGATCGCTAAGACTCTAAATGACATCAACATTCTGCCTTCGACAGCAATATGGACACCAGAAGTCGGACTAGCTTAAAGACTTTGATTTCAAGACGCAAAAGGCTTTCATCACTATAGAACTCAACTTGCCTTCATGTCTTAGACTTCGACAAGATTTAAGACCTAATGACATTCATTAACTTCATGGCAATGGTCTTGAGAGACTCGACGACTTGAAAGCTTTAACTGACTTCATGGTAGTAGCTTTGAGAGATGTCAAGATTATGAGATAAAAAACTGACTTTACGACTTTTGCTCAAAAAAAACATAAAGACTCGATGACTAAGATTGTCTTAGTGACTATGATTTGCGAAGACATAAAGATAACAGGACAATGGCTAACTTTTGTGGAACTCACATATATATTCGAAGAAAATAGTGAGTGTAAGTTTGAAGGTCAAGTTTTCGCGGCTCCCTCCCTCTCCCCCTTTCATTACAGACAGGTCCTCATTACAGACCTTAGCAAACCAGAATAAAAAATGTTAGATTTTCTAGAGCTTTTTTGGAAAATTGATCAAGTTATAATTTTGAAAAATAATGAGCATCATTATTTGTGACTTGATTAATATATATGATAGTGTGTAAGATCTGCTGTAAATATTATAGATTTGTAAAACGCAGTTGTTTGTCAATCAATTCAACGATTATAATAATAAGAATGATAAATTAAGAAAAACCAATTTACAAAAACGAAAAATAATGAGCGAATAGCAACAGGGAAAATGAAAAATTGGGCGCCCGTAGAAAAAAAAATTAAAAAAATTGTTTGAAATGCAGAAATTGGAGAATTTTTTACTGCAGTAATTAATTATCCTGCAAAGCAATTATAGTTTACGAGAGAGTTTTCATTTTACGTTTTTTGTATTAATTTAATGAAGCTATAAAGGATATGGGAGTTTCACATTTCAGCCTCAAAGGGGTTGCGCTAACAAGCTTTTTTACTCAACCTTTCCGAGGGAGACATGAAGACAATAGCAATAAGACTGAGAGCACGACGCGTGTTTTATGCGAAACGAAGACCTCAGAACTCAGACTAAATTAATGACATTCTATTCAGGAAACTTTCAACTTCTACCACTTTTACTGACTTCATTACCGTGAATTTAGAAAACCAGTACACTTGAAGGATTTCATTACCTTCATGTCTCCGCCATTTCACAAAATTGAGTACACAGACTGACATCAAGTCTAAACCCTTGGCAAAATTAAAGACTTTAGGACTTCCGCTGACAATATGACTCTGAAACTTACAATCATATACACTTGACGATTTTCACTAGTTTCATGATACTCGTTTTGATAGACATGAACACTGAAGAACTTTGACTAAGTTCTGGTATTCATATTACGAATCTTTCAAAGCTTTACGACTCGCAGCAACTTCCGGAGGGAGATTGTCTTCAAGACTATTCATTTTGACAGACTTGATGAGCATGACTGAAGGCCGAACTCCACATTTAAAGAACTTTAAGAATTGAGGTCCCAGTCACTATAACCAACTTCGTATTTTCTCTGATTTCAACTTTCTACAAAAAAAAACATGCTACTCTCTAGAATATATCAGGTTTCCTGCTGCCTTTGCACTACTTTCAACATATCCTGCAAATGGACAAAACCATTTAAACGTTTCCAAATGCATACAGTTTAGCGTCAACGCATTAAATGCTTCTCGAAACAGAGAAGTTATCCTAGTCGAGAAATTTCGTCCCGGGCTCATTTTTTCTCTTGTCTTCTACTATTAGAGACGCATGTTCAGCGAAATGAAACTCAAATCTAGATTAAGGAATTGNTTTACCTGGTAATTGATATGAAATATCGTCTCGTAAATAGAAATTATGAACGTCATTTTTTAGTTTGTCAGCAAGTAGAACTGTAGTACATTGATGTTTAGATTTAGGAATCAAACCATACGTTTCAGCAAGGTGCTGAATGACAACTTTTTTTTTATCACATTTTGGAAGTGAAGAATTTGTTTTCTTTAATGCCTTACCAAATGATTGACGATTTCTGAATGAATCTGGAGGAGGTTTTTTAACTAAACGTTTTTTTTTATGTTCTCGATATTTTTGTTGGCGAAGTTTGTTTTCGATACGAAATTTAGCTAAGCTTGCTCCCGTCAGTTTTTGCTTTTTTGAATTAAAACGAATACGATCTTTTGCTTTCACTGCTTCATACTTAACTTTATCTTTTTTGATTTTCTCTCGATATTTTTTTATTCTTTCAACATTACTCATAGCCATGTCAAAATGACGATAGTAAGAAGAAACAAATAGTTACCTTGATGAAACGATACAACAGATATTTGGCAATAGTACTTATATGAAAGAAAAATTTCCTAATCTTTTTCCACAGCTGTTTCTTACTGGATAGATAAGATAGAACTGATTCTTCTTTTCTTTTTCACCTATTTATATATTGTGAAGTGTCAAAACAAAATGGACGGCAAAAGGAAGAAAAGAAAGAAAAATGCTGCCTGATTTTATTTAATTGTTTTTTTTTCTCATTATGAATGGACGACGAAAGGAAGGAAAGAAAAAGAAAATAGACTGATCATTTAAACCGTTATTTTTTTCATTTTGAACGACTGTTGTTTGTTAAAAAAACATGAACAACACGTCAGTCAATGCGAAATCTAACGTTGATTCTGAATGTGTTGCTGCAATGGTTAAAATTAACCGTAGCTGGAAACATAAGTATTAAATATTTTTTGAAAGACTTGTCGGTAGATAAGTAAACTAAAGGTTAAATCAGGTTTAATTTGTAACCAAAGACAGTCTGACGTTAGTACTATCGAAATTATTGTTGATTTCCATGATTTAGGAATAGTATCAAAAATGAAGTTTTTGTCACACTGTTAGGTTTATCTCCCTTCAGATGACACATTTTTCAGAAGAAAAGTAGTGCATCAGAATCGTCGTAAAAAGTTAGTAATAGTCCACTAATTTATTCCCTGGTATCTCTTAAAGGGCTCATCAAACTTTTAAAATAGGGTCTTTTCGTAACGGTGTGACAGTGATATTGATCAATTATTATATTAGGACTATCTCAAGGTGAAGGACAGGACAAAAGTTGATTATTTTGCCAAAAGAAAGGTCATTTATGATAGTTTAGAGAACACCTGAAAGCGCGAGTTCGAAGCTTGTCTTTAATGTGTACGGTTGGTTTCGACGTAGGAGAGAAAAAATTGCTATTAACGGTGTGATAATTGAGGATTAATGTATACATTTTTTAAGACTCACAAAAACATGGCATAAACGTTTATCCAAAGTTTTGAACAAAATACTTAATGTCTGAAGTGTCGCATTACGCGGACAAGCCGTACTACGTTCATCTATTGAAAAGAATGCAATGACGTTTCGTTTCAAAAATAAGTTNGTCTTGCCGCCCTCCCCCCCGCCTCCCCACAACACGCCTCACCACCCCCACTCCCCGTTCCCAACCCCCCCCCCCCCCCCCCCCCATTACAGACATAAGTAACCCTCCAGGCCCTAGCAACCGTGGAAAGAAGAAGCCAAAAATTGTTCCATGTTTCCATTCCAACGAGAAATGGCACGTAAGTAATATCAGTGCTTAGATCATTCTGAAACTCTGTAGATTCTAAGTTTTTAGTCTAAATAGTGTAACTTTGTGGCTTTTATGCAGCGAAAGGACCTTATTGGAGGTTTTAACCAATAGAGCGATCGTTTTTTAATCTAGTAGAGTCTGATTATGACAGACAAAGAAAATCTGAACTCATTGTATTCTAATTTCAGGTAAAAACTCAGTGGTATGTGTTAAAACTAGTCGAGAAAAAGAATAGTGTGCAGAATAATTTACTGAGTGTTAAAATCAATGTCTATAGCAAACTCATAGAGTAGGTGAATCGACGAAACGAAGGGCAGAATAATATTAGCCACTTTCTGTGGTATGTATTACAGATACATTACCATTACGAGAAAGAAGCTATGGGTTGAAGATATATTTGAAAATACAAATAAGTTTTTGCAGTATAATAATATTGAATCAATCAAATAAATTGGTAGAAAAGTAATAATAAATGTGTAAATTTTCGAAATTACAAAATTTCAGAGCGCGCCTATCAATAATAAAAACTGTTATGATTTTGAATTATTCATTTATTTGACATCTTTTAAAAATAAATTATTTTAAAGGCTCTGACAATGTTATAAATTTATAACAGTCAGAGTTCGTGAGTTCTACACTTTGGCTCCAGAAGATGGCCACACTGGCAAGTCTTCATTCTTAACGATACACATGTATCAGCCAAATAAAGTATGTATCTGTCAACATCGGTATTGTTTAGATATGTGCGCTCATTTTATCCTTTTTCAGCTGTTTTAGTCATTGCTTTTGAGTGAAGAATTTTTACTAAAACAAGCTTCTATGATTTTATTTTAAAGTGTTTTGGTTAATTTTTGTAGCAACTGATTCTCATTCGTTCCATTTTGCAAGATGCACTCAGTTTGTGAAATTCCGACTGTTCACAGATCACGTATAGCCTTATTCTTGGGTCCACTAGTATCGAAACTATGAGTAATTTTATTCTATGAAATCTGCTATCTATCACACTCCTTGTGTTACAAAACTAAATGATCCTATAATCTGTATGGATATACCATGCATAAAAAAAGGGATGAGGAAATAGAAGAATAAATAGTTTACACAGAAAATAGCAGCAGAATATATATAGCAAATAAGATGTACAAAAAGAATAATATTATTTTTACTCTTAGAGTGAATCGAATCGAATTGATGTTTTGAAAAAGTAGATCGAATCGAATGCGAATGAAGGATTTCTCATTCGTTTCGCTCTCTGGATCATATTGAACATTTCACTTTGTCACTGTCATTAGCCAGTGCAAAATATTCAATCAGTCGTTTTTTTAATTTTTCTTGCTGTTTAAATTGTCAGCATTTGTTGTATTATCACTAACACTTGATATAGTGAATGAATTTTGTTGTTGATCTTCATCATGTTCAGGTGAACTTAAATAACAAGCCTTGCCATCATCGTAGTCCATTCGAGTTTGTATATCAATATCAATATCGATTTTTCTTTTTTCTTCTGGAATATAGTATTGGGTATAGGTGTTCACTTCACGCCGACACAGATTCACCCACATCGACCCCAAGCCAGATGCTTTAAATGGTGAGCGTTGAAATTTAACTTATGATGCCATCGAGAAACGGCAGATATACTATGTAAACGAATGACGAAAAATGAGTTATAGGTTATGTATATCACCAACAAGAATTAAAACTCATGTCTTGTTTAGAACTGTAAACTAATTTAGTTTAAGCCCTTTTTTTAAATAATGGTGAGTTGAGAAGAGTCGCCAACATAGTTTGATTTAGTTTCTTTTCCAATGAATGACATAACTTAAATAATTACGATAAGATTGTTACCACAAAAGAAAATGAAGAGCAAGAAAATTAGATTAATGTTTTTTACTTATCCGCTTATTCTGTACATTATATTTGCAATTGACAAGAATATTTCACACCATGAAGTTCTTTTTATTAACATATCTTATTGCTATGTCAGGTATTTGATTGCTTGTTGTTTACAGAAAAATGTTACTTTTAACTTTATTTTTAAAAAATAAATAATGTAATTGTCTTTATTTCACGAAGTAAATGGCAAATTAACACCCGAAAGTCAAACATTCTTGACGAATCAAAAATGATTGTCTAACATCTATCTAGGAATATATTCGAAAATATTTTATATATCTAACACTGAGTAAGCCTCAATCAGCCGAATATATAGAAGTTATGCGGACAGTAAGCTTTTTTGTCCGAGATCTATAACGACAAATTGAGTCGTTCCATTCCTAGTATTAAAGTACGATGAACGATCAATTCGACAAGATGATAACAAGTAAAGAACATCGTTTAGAGAAAATGGCATTCTGTTCTCGATGCATAATATATTTCCTATTGATGAAATGAAACAAATAGATAAACGATTTTATCAATTCAATTTAATATTGACAAGTTACATATCTTAACAGTCTTTTCAACTGGCATGGCTAGAGCTTGTCGTGTTAATCACAGATTCGAATCCAATATTTTATCGGATACACTTTCTATAATCATTCTTTTAAGCATAAAACTTTTTTGATCATATTCTACACTTTTCTTTACTGGCGTATACTAAACATTTTTAGTATGTCTTATTGCGAGTATCTCATTTTATAGTCTTTGTTTTTATTATAATTTTTTCAGTTGAACAATATAAACTTTCTATTAGACAACATTATAATCTTACTTAATGGGATTGATAAATCGTAATCATTTTCATAATTCTAACATGTGCTCTGTAATACATACATCTTTCAAAAAAGCAAATATAAAATGTTGTAATTGTATTTCTTGACAGAAGAAACAAATCCAAAAGCATGTTATCACGCAACGACTTAATTAAAACTAATAATTAGTTTGAAATTTATTTGATTAATTTAGTTTGTTCTGACGAAACAAACAATTATAAACACTGTATCGCATTCATATGAGAGAACAAAAAAATCAGTACAATATTTTTATATCTTATAGAAGTTCGATCAAAAGTTTAATGATGCCACTGATGTTTACGATTATATAAACGAATATGTGACTAGACGCGAACAGAAAAAAAAGGAAACAACGACGATAAAATGCATGGAAAAAATAGAGCACCATCATTCTACACATAGATCTTTTATATACAAGTGTTTATACAAAGAATTTATATCTATATATGTATAATGAACATTCTCTTTATTTGTAATGTAGATTGGCATTTGTTGATGATTTTTTTTTGTTCTGATAAGATTGTTGATTATTAAACTGTTTCGTTGAGCTAAAAGAAAACAAAATCAAATATAAATCCAAATGATAAGAAATTTTTATAAATAGAAGAAGCATTAGTAGTTAAAGCAAATCTATTGATTGCCTACATATAGCCTATCTTTATACAGAGTCATGATCAGCAAATAATTGACGAGAAGTTGATATTGATTTCTTATACTATTTAAAACTTTAATAAGAATGTAAAACAATTCTTGTCTATTTAAATACCTTTGTTGATGACGAATGATCATTGGTATATCCATTTGTTTTATCAGAACGATGGTCACCATTCATCATTGGTGTTGTCTGATGATCACTATTGGAAAAGAAATAAAAAACATAAAATTAATAAATACCGATTGTTTTTAATCAACGTCCGAGATGAACGAATAAAATGAAAATTAAAAGTTTAAAAAAATAGAGTATGCCTGAAAAAAAAACGATTTTCCTATGTGCAATGCCTGCAAAGAATCTTTACTGATGTTTGTCGAAAGAATCCTTTTATTAAACAATATATTGTGCCCCATATTAAGCAATCAAATTTCATGCACTCATTATACGGATGTGATTTTCTTTCAATCTACAATATTATTTTAACAGTAAGGACGGGAGATCGGATAAGAAACTTTTTTTTGGAAACTCTTTACTCATGTCGGTTCGTGTTGTGCGTAGAGTTCGTAGGGTTGATTCCGGACTCGAACCAATAAATCATACGCTAAAAGTAGCAGCCTATTATGACTTGATTTTTATAAGATCATCGACAAGATTGTTGAAGAAATATATTAAGTGTGTTAGTAGCAGAATACAAATATTCGATAAAAAGTATCTTTCATCTTTGGAGCGACTATCACACACACACTAAACAATTCTGCTCAAATTATGAGTACAGTCCGGATCCGAGTTCGAAAAAGCTGAATTAACCGTGTGCGGAGTTCAGTAATTTTGGACTCAATAGGCTCTAGTTGATTATCACCTTTTAGTGCTATGATAAGCCATAGATTGCGTTTGGTGAAATATTCTTCGAAAAGTTGAGTTCAATTAAATTGGAACTCTCTGTTAGTTTCACAAAATACGATACGAACTTATTTTTCGAAAATTCTCTTTCAGAGTTCAAGAAAAAAGTTTTTTTTTCATTATATATAATTCGATCAGTTGATTGAGAAAATTATCTTAATCTTGCGTCAAAATATGTCCGTATTTGCAAAATTAATGGGTTTTGAACAGGAGTCTAATCATTGAGAAATTTCCAAAGTCGGTCTGTTTTCAAACACAATGATGATGGATAAATCACAAATACAAGAATAATCAAGAAAATCTAAGTTTGATCGGGTTAGAACTCTTTTTAATGTTTACGAAACCCGGTATGATCGATTTTCGGTCTAGTAACCATTTTTTTCACCTTCATTTTCAGATGCAATCACAATGTTTTTCTTTTCATACAATGAGTCTTTTATGAGATCAATTATCCGTTTCAAATATTTACTTATTTTAACATATTTTGATAAGTTCACAAAAGAAATCATTTTTGCAAGGTTCAACTTAATATTTGTAATTTTTATTTTCAAGTAATATAGACTAATCATAGATATAAATATATCGACATAGATTCTATTATTTCAACATTGGCAAAAAGAATTTGCTGTCATGTTCGGCTGGTTATTCACAATATTATGTTTAAATATATTTAGGACAAAAAGAAAAAATTTTAAATAACTTACGAATTAGTTGTCTCATGTTTGCCATCAAGCCGAAAAACACGTAATAGAACACATACAGTAATAACAACAACAGCTGAAAAAATAATGGCTATTATGATACCAACAATAATCCATTTGTTTGGTTGAGTTTTTCCATCATTTGGTATTAATGGATTTCTTTCTAATTTGTTATATTCTAAAGAAAATAAATTTATCATGTATTGAATATACTCTCTTTTATAAGTTTTAAATTCAAATATAAATATTTTTTACTTCTTAAGCTACTAAATAGTGCTATAAGGAAATGTATCTCAACTCTCTAAGTTATCAGTAAGTCGATTGGAAAATTTGTGAATAATTCGTTTTTTATTATGAATAGAGTATGAAAAACTAAATGCTTTATGTTAATTGTTGACACGTATTTTTCAATTCATTTCTACGACAAGAGCTTTATTGTTATAAAATAATCAAATGAACAATTACTTGAACATCTGATCGAACGATTCTAATGTTTTTCAATACTAGTTTATTTTTTAATGATTGCATGACTATACAAACGATTATTCTATAGTAGAATATTATCTATTGTCTTACATGAGAGTCTTGTCTGTGAATAACATAGAAGTAAACTATTCTTTAAGAGTATAATATATTTTTTTCTTACCATTACTTTCTTCATTTGTTTTTATACGCAACTTTTGTTCAGCTACACCAACTTCATTATATAATTTAATTATAACAATATAATTTGTATTTGGCTTTAATCCAGTTAATTCATATTCAGTTATTGATGAATCAATTGATATTGGTGTACTTAATGGTCCTTCAATATCTAGACCATTATCATCTTTCGCCTTAAAAAGAAACGATAGATCATAAGTTTGAATAAGTTGTGAATTAATCGAGTAATCAAAAAACAAAATTATAGAAAGAGCTCAGTCCTCTTGACCATGTCAACAGAGAGAGTGTAGGCACTTTCGTAATGCTTTTTTAAGCGGAACTCAAATCCTTGGTGAGCGACTCAAAATCTTGTTCTGAGACTGAGCCCTCTTCTCGTTCTTGTCTGGTGACGTGGCTATTATAAAAAAATCTCTTACCTTTGCATAAAGTATTTCCGCGCGAACAATGGGTGCTCCGCCATCTGATTCAATATTCCATGTAATTAAACAACTTTCATCACTTAAACATGTTCTATTTGTATGTTCGTCTACTATAAACTCTGGTATTTGTCTATCAAGTGTTCGAAATTGTATCGGTCCTGTTTGTTGACCAATACCAGCTCGTGATTCAGCAACAATCATTAATTGATAATATGTACTAGGCCGAAGATTTTCAACTTTTATTATTTGTTGTTTACTAGTTTTTTGTGCTAAAAAAACAAGCAAAAAAAATTATAGTAGAATTCTTTTCCGAATAGACGACTTACCTGGAACAATTAATGTTTGTAATTGACTATCTTTTGCGTCTTGTATATCATATTTAAGTATATATTGTAAAACAGGAAGATCGTCAGTGTCAGATGATTGTATAAGAATTTCTACACCATTTGATAACGGCTTAACATGAGTTATATTAACTGTTCTTGGTGGTTGTGCACGTTGAAGTGTAAATGAATGTCGACCAATACGTGGATTTAATGCTCGACATTCAAAACTTAAGCCAAAATCACCTTCTGTAGGAGTATACTAGATAGAAAATTTTACTGTCTTTTTTAAATTTATTTAATAATAAATATTTACTGAAAGAACACTTTCATAAAGTGTTGTTCCAATTTGTTTTGTTGTTATATCATTAACACCGTTATCAATACCAACAGCGAGTATTCGTCCTTGAGGATCTTGCATCGTTCGACTCATTTTAATCCATTGAATATGTGGCGATGGGTAAGACTCAAATTGACAACGAATTATTGAACGATAATTTGGAATTGTTGTTATAATATTAGTATTTGGTCCAACATAAACTGGTTGAACTATACGAAAAAAATGCAAAGCAAAAATAAAATAAAATAAAATAATTTATCATTAACAAATGATAAACTTACATTGAATAAAAAGACTAGCTATTGAATAAGTAGTATCTGCAAGATTTTTTGCAACACATGAATAATTTCCAAAATGTTCACGGCGTACAGGATCAAAACGTAATTCAATTAATTTATGTGTTTCATATTGTGTTCTATCAATAAATATTCCATTCGTTGATTGAATTGATGTATGATTTAAATATTGCCATTCTAGTGAAAGATTATCGGTTGAACCACGTTCAACTCGACATTGAAATGAAACACGTTGTGGATGTTGACTATCAACATTTATTTCAATCGGTGAAATTAATGATAAACGAGGTGGAACTATTAGAACAAAAGATGTATTATTTTAATCATAATAAAAACTTTTTTCAATTGTTTTTTTCTTGTTCTTTTCAATAAATATTTACCGATCACATTTAAATTATATTCAGCTCGTTGTCCTTTTCGATCAAATTCATTAAAAGCTTGACATGAATATTTTCCATTATCAGTTTCATCAACATAATTTATAGTTAATTGATTCCCACGGACAACAAATTTCGGTACTTCACTTGCACCAACAGGTGAATCCTAATTAGAGAAATAATTAAAAGATTTTTCTTTTGCAAAACATCAAATCAATTGGAAGTCAGTACATATTAAATACACGTGCAATAAGCCAAATAGATCAAATACACACAAAAACAAAGATAAAGCAGTATTTCATGCCACTAATAAAACTGTTTGTTTTAGTAATTTGATTTCTATCTATTTTCATTTCGTTTCATCACTCACACGGCGTTCTGTATCTGCTCGGAATATTTCCGACATTAACTGATTAAGTATCATAGTCAAATTCACTGGAATCGATTTTGTTTCATCTCCCTGAAGATATGAATCTTTCGTTTTGTTTTTTCATTCATTATACAAAAAATAAAAGTATTAGTTTTCAAGAAAAAAAAACACACTATTTTACCGCAATAGTCAATACATTGATCTGAACAAACAAATAAAAAATACATTCATGCATATGACAATTACTCATAAAAACACTCATGCTTCTTTTTCCTCTTTCTCTTCTTCTTACTTTAACTGGCCTTAACTCTTCTGCCTAGAGATTTATAAACATTTAGTTTTCTATTTCGTTAAAAAAAAGAAACAATTACAATCATACCGATCCATAAAACCATAAGTATTTCGGTGTTGGCAAACCGGATGCTTCACAAATTAATGTTGCTGTTTTTTTTTCAATAGCACATGGATTAGCACAAGTTATATGTGTTTGACTGATTGGTTCTAAAAAGAAATAGAATATAATAAATTTTAACAATCTATTTCGAACATACTTGATACAATAACAGATATTGGAAAATCTCGTGATTCGCCTGTTTCAAGAACATCAGCACGACACCAAAATATATCATTATCTGACATTTCAACATGTTTTATATGTAAACCGTCATGAACTAATTCATAATTTGGATTTTCTATCAAATAAAAATAATCACAAAATAACCGGAAGAAAACAGCATGTAACAACAAACCTATTCGAATTTTATCTTGACCTTTAAACCAAGACACTTCAGCTATTGGATTTGCTTGAACAGAGCACTTGATAATAACAGATTCACCAAGTTCTACATATTGAATAGAATCACCATGAAATGTTATTGGAACTAGAAAAAAAAACAAAGAAAATATTATCTTTTGCTAGTAGAAATTTTCAAGTAGAATAAACCTTTAACAATCATTTGAAATGATTTTTGTGTTTGTTGACCATTTGCATTTGTACCAATACATTCCCATTTCCCTATTTATTAATAAAAACAATTATATTTATTATTATTTTCTGGAATCCACATATATTTTCGAAGAAAATAGTGAGCGTAAGTTTAAATAGAGATTTTTTGGGCTGTCTCCAAGACCTTAGGAATTGTGGAGGAAGCGCATAATCATTGGGTACGTTTCCATAGCAACCGCGGATAACAGGTGCGGAGTATCATTAACAACAAGACTGAGACTGTTCTAGAATAAGACAGATTATTCCTCTGACGATCGATTATCTTTGGATAATAAGAGTCTGCTCCAGAGATTTTTTACTTTACGTATTTCGTATAAGTATAATGAGGGTTAAGAACACATATGAGTTCCACATTTTAGCCTTACGCAGGCTGCACTAGCAAGTTTATTTTTCGATTTAATAATACCTTGATCATCAGTTGTCAAATTTCGAATTCGTAATCGAATTCCATTTGTCTGTCGTTCAACAGTAACACTAAAAGAAAAGAAATAAAATTCCTTGTCTTTTTCTTTTCCGTCTTTATTTTATTGAACTTCCTACCGATCATTTAGGTTCTCAGGTATATCTTTCTGTTGTGGGGATCGCCAACGAAAAATTCGACTATCCGATTGATCGGTACATAATGCAATAAATGATTTATATTGATCTCTTGTTAATGAACTTTGACTTGGTTTAATAACCAATTCACCAGAAATTTGTACAAGAACTAGAAAAAACAAATAAAAAAAATCGATGCATCAGTCTTTTTATTTATTTCTAAAAGAATCATATACAAACTTACCTAAATTTAGTACCAATATCGAGAACATCCTCTTTTCTAATGAAATATTTTATCTGAAATGGCAAAAAAAAAGCATCCATTCATTTGGTCTTATCTTATATAAGACCAATGAGTTATTACATCTGATTGTGTATATAGAATTCATACTATTACTGCACTTTTTTTCAAACTCAACTATTAAATATGAGATTTTTATCGTCTGTATGTATGTGTATGTGCTTATAGAGTTGGAAGAAAATGACAAGCATTCGCCTTCACACGTCCGATAAGGGTATCCAAGCGTAATTGTCGGTTGCAAGAAAAAAGGAAGGAAAAAAACCGAGACAACGAATGGCCAGTTCTTTTTTTTTTAAATACATTTCTTTTTGATGTTGTTCTTTTCTTACCAATATAATATAAATTCATCTAATACGTTGCGTAAAACTGTTATGTGTGTTTATACAAAACGCACTAATGTTTAAAAAAGAAATCAAGGATATCATTTATAATAAAATGAAAAAAAAAGAAGTCAATTTTATTCATTACATAAATTGAAAAAAAAACTCGAATGATAAAACGAATAACTTAATCTATTGAATTGTAAAAGTGTAAACGATGATATTCGGAAATAAATAACGACAGTTGTTTGTAACTCACAGCAGTGCTCAGCATGACTAAGGTCAATTATATACATGCACATACACTATGCGTTGTTCATTAACTTTTAGTCTTGGTGTGCATAGTTAAAAAAAAAAAGAGAGAGAGAGAGAGAGAGAGAGAGAGAATGAATGATTGATGATACACAACAAAAACATAAACGAACGGAAATATGTCGATGATATTCTACCTGTATTAACCAGACTTGCTGCGACATATGTTCAACGGTGAATTGATCGAACAATAGTTGAATCGCGTGTATACATATGTGCGCTAGAGATCATCGAAGCAATGTGTATCTAAGTGCTCGAATAATGAATTATTGATCAAATCATACGATGGACTATGTATGTCCACATCATGAGATTAGCGTTTGTGTGTATATGTATAAAGAAAAAAAATAGTATTTGCTTACGAAAAAGAGAAATCGGCATGTTCTCTTGAGTTTTTTTCTTTTCATCACTATTATGCTAATCGTCAGAAAGTATACAAAAGAAAAAGAAATATTAAGTGAACGCACCTTGACAATGAATGAACCCTCCTCTTTGTTTTTCTTTTTTCTTTCTTTTTGAAAAAGCTTAACAGACAGGTGTTGTACTAGAGCGCGTGCTATCTGTCTATTCGAGAAAACTCAACATGTCCGAAAGGCAATATAAATTATTAAGATTTTTTTTATCTCTCTTTCTCTTTCTCTCTTTTCCGTCGCAAATGCTTCGTCGGACAATAGATACAATTAGCTATCTTTAAGAATGTTTGATCCTAGCTTGAAGGCATATGGTATGGATGATCTCAATTCGATTTGATTCTATGTCGAATAGTTAAAGCTACTCAAAGACGGAAATCATCATAAATGCTAAATCACTATCGTTTGTCTAAAATAATCAAATCTAACATGTGTTCCACTCGGATATGCAAAAGTATATGTTTTAGAATATTCGATTTTACGATTGACGGATAGATAATTGCTTCTGTCGAATAATTACTCTGATGTGATGAAAGCTGGATTAGAAAAAAAAATTTTTTTTTTGTTTTAAGAACAAGCATACGTTACCGACTCTCTAATTTGACATGCGACATGCCGCTGAACCTCTTCACCTGAAATGATCATTATTTCTTCATTAAATTCGAAAAATAATCTTTCTTCTCATCATTCTATATGTTTTGTATGTTATATAGAATCATGATTGACAATATTAATGAGAGGAACGGTCATATGCATTCTTGGACAAAATCATTAATCAATAGACAGACGAATAGGAAGTTCAATTTGTCTAGTACATAGAAATTAAATTATGAAAGTGATCTAAGAAATCTTGATTGATGTTATTCATTACTATAGAATATATGGTCATTCTTTCTAAATGAAGAATGGCAATTATCTTGAAGTGTAAACCTCATAAGAATTGTCATCAGACACATTGTCTTACACAATATAAAGCGTTAATCTAATAAATGATCATACCATCAACACCCATGATGACTAGAGTAACTGTAGTCGTCGAAATAATATTTGCATAGCGTGATCGACATGTCGTCTGGTGCCAACATAGAATTCACTTATTGAATTTTTTTTCTTTTCTTGTTTTAATAAAATGTATATTTGTTCAATTGGAATGTTTCTTTTACACCTTTTGTCTCTATTGAATAGACAGACACGATTCAAATACTGCATGATGTACATAAGAAATACTATTTCAATAATGATAAAATAATGTCAACTATGTTGAAAACTTCTGTTATTTCTCGATAACAAGAATATATCCGTATACTGTTTTCATTTGAAATTAATTTGCTACTCATTCATTGCCGCAGGTGTTAAAGTAAACGATGTAATGAAAAGAAGAGAAGTGAAGGCATCAGCATCAGGGAATCAATACACACACACACCACACATACATATATATATATACTTGAGTTTGAACAACTGACCGATAGTCATTAGTTTTCACACGTCTACATGAAAATATCTTAAGGCAATATGAAGTATTTATACATTCAATATCGAGAAAACACAAAATTGTTTTGATTATATTATATCATATGTAAACATACTTGATAATATTTGTTAGTCAACATAAAGGTCAGAAATACCCGCTTATCAATAATCGTTCAATAGGCAATGTTCTATACTAACCAAATAAATAAGCCTTTATCAAATAATGTGTTGTAAGCCGAAAAGTTAAATAAACTCGAAAGAAAAAAATGCGTTTGATTTATCTTAATCTTATTTGATCAAAGTGATTCTCTCGACATATAGCATTTATCAATGATGTCCATAAACTATACATAATATTACATACAATCAATTGAGTTAGATAAAATTCATTGCATTTCAATAGAAGACCAATAACATTCTTAAGACGAATCACAAGATTAAAAGTATTTCAAATATTTTTTTGACTGCAATAGAAAAATAATGATTTCTTCGCTTAAATTTTAAAGATGAGCAAATGTCCATGATCAATGTAAAGAATGATTTCCCAAATAAAACACATTTATTAGTAATTCATACTGAATCACATCATTCTTTTTCGTCAGTTAAGTTACGAGTTAATTGTTTTTTTTTAAATTATACGATATTTTTTATATTTTCTAATTATATAAGTAACACTCATCACGTGCCGATACAGTTGTTCTTAGGCTCATGAGATAGGCATACAGTTGGATTCATATTTAACTATAAAAATTAAACAATGAAAGTAGTAGACAAACTGATAACATGAGAAGTATATCATAGATGATTAAAAAGACTTTAATTTTAAGAATGACAAATATATGTCCTAGGATAATTTCTTTTTTTGTTTAGGCACAAAACTACAAAATAGATTCTAATTATCATTTGCATTAAGAAAACATAACACGTACTTGCTTTTAATTTAACTTGATTGAGTATTCATTCTCATGTACTTCATATTGTAATGAATGCGCTAATGGCATTTTCTAGTCAACATAGAAAAAATGATTTTTGAAAATATTTTTTACGAACAAGCGAATCAACTTTCTAAGTTTTCGAAGTATCAAGTTCCTATAGGAGACAGCTATTGTTCTAACACTAGAAATACGTAAAATAAAAAAATCCTACATCTATTTTTTGGTTACAACGTAACTCAATCAAAGTTAACAGGATAATATATTTATACTCTACATATCATCTATAAACGACGTTAAATTCAAGAACAAATAAACATTGATAATAAATACTACTCTAAAAATGCATTCGCGACACAAATGAATTACAAAATAATTCAAAATTTTTATATGTGATAGAAGAAACTTATTTAAAGTATCTACTAAGTTGTAGGTGAGTCAACAAGCATATAACACTATCAACAAGGGTGTGGTTGTACCATCATCCATACTCACACTTATACTCTGGTATATTCTACCGCAACTTTTGATACAAATGAATAAAAGCTGAATTATTTTATAATTCTTTTTTTTCTAATTAGTTTATAATTCATTTGCGCCATCCGATGCAAAAATCATAAACTTACAGATCTATTCTTTTTTAGTGTTCGGAGCTTTCTAAGACAAATTAGATTTTAATTGAATATATTCATGAACTCTACCACTTTCTGAATAAACTTAGATTTCAGTTAAATGTACTAGCTAGCTCAAAATTTCTAAGACTTAGTTAAAGTTTAATTAAAGCTAAACATAGCTTAATATAGATATATAAGATCAACTCATGATTTTCAGCTTTTTCGCATTTTTATAATTTTTAAAAATTCTTTTTAATTTTGACTAAATCTCAACTTTTGCCTAATACATATGAGACGATTGCAAGCCATTTGTACAATTTAGCTTCGATTTTTTTAAAAATTTTCATTTTTCGCTGGAATGATTTTGCGTATTGGGATAGATAGTACTACTAAAGAAATAAAGGAAGCCGGCAGTTGTCTCACTACCACTATCAAGAATAGCCGAAATTACGAAAAATTAAAGAAAACCTACCCCCGCTGAGAAAAGTCGATTTTTGGTGAAAAGCATGAAAATTGAGATAAATGCAGAGGAAGATAGTTCGAGGTCTGATCTTTCAANATGAATGACTAAATAATGCTTCAATATCATCACATGGTCGCATTAATGTACCATTTCGTCCAAGCGCTACTTTGGTACCTTCACTAAAAAGATAAGGTACAAGTTTATAATGTAAATTAACCCATGATCGATAAATATCAGTTGTTTCATTGTCAAAATTCCACGGTAAATGTTCACCACCACCACCGTTTTCCATAAATGAGCTTAATGCACCAATAGCTGTCCAACGAAGAAATAATTCTTTTGTACGACCTAATGTACCAGCTTTAGGATCAGTTCGATAACCACCTATATCCGAACCAAAACCAACATAACCACGACGACCACTTTCAAGCATATAACGAAGAGCTGTTTTTAATCCATTATATGTACCATCTTCATCGCCGACCCAACCCATGAACACAATATCACGTGGACTATAATCAAGATCACTATCAACTGGACGTGACATAATTAAAGCATCTGGACCAACTAGCCGCCGTAAAATTTGAAATGTATCATTATAATAAGCTGTACGATAACGCTCCCATGTTACACGAGGATCAAGTACTTCAATTATATATGGATCAGTACCATCAGCCTACGATAAAAATAAATAAATATGAATCAAGTTTTGTGTATTTAATCGAATCATATGCTTTTTTTATTAGTCTATATGCAGGTTTTAGAGATTACCGAGGACCTATGGGCAAAATTAATAAAAACGAGACATGACCATTGTGGATTTGACTTTGAGTCTTTATAGAAGTTCTTATTTAGCACAAGTTCTTTTATCATGAATATATGAGAAAATATTAGCTCTTCCAGCTTACATGTAATTGAACTGAGTTAAAAAATAATTTTCAAAGCTGATAATGGAAAATTGGTGACATTCTTAGCAAGATCAAACCTGAAAAAATTATCTTCTTAAAATCAATTTTTCATAAGTTATTCAGTGGGAATGTGGGTAAATCTCTTCGCATCGCATTCGCACTCCACAAAATACTAAAAGCTGAAAAATTTTTCATGTACTTGGTAGCCTTGGCTAACTCATTAATGGTTCATCTATTTGAAGTCGTTTTTTATGGCTGATACGCAAACTTAAGATAGGCTTACAGTAAAAATTTCAAGCGAAACGGATTTATTCTTGAAGAGATTTTGATGCCACAAAAAATTGCAAAAAGCGTCTTTTTCTGACGAGAGCACTCTCAAAGAAATTTAAACATCTCAAAGATAGAACGATATTTTTTGAAACGGCTTGCGTAGAAATTCCTCAAACGCTTGCCCATATAACATATATTCAACCAATCAAATCGGTGATCATCGATTGAGCAGCTACAGTGGAAGTCAGTCGTGGCTTATGTGAAGTGACTCAAATGGAAACGTATACGATTAAAATGTTTGCTCTTTTTTGAGTCACGTTGCTAACGTTGGTTTTTCAATAGTCACCCAATGAAACCCAGATCTATACTACTGAGTTTGTCAGGCCATCTTGAGCAATTTAACATACATATATAACATAAAAATTGGTTGAAAGAAATGCTCGAATTCATAGATATAAGTATTTTCACTTTGTGCAATCATATTGTTAACAAATAAATGTGCACATTTCCAGTTTCGCAGGTTTCTATAGGATAGATTTTTTCGCACAATCTAGGATCTAAACATTTATACTTTTAGTGTATAAATACACAGATAGCCCCTATATCTATATTATATAGGATATAACTTCATCTCCTGTGCAGCCAAAGTTTTTATTTTGATATCTGAAATGATTGATGTTCAACATTGAAATTCTCTCCTCGAAATTTGTAAATAATGAGTGTGTGACCCGAATGAAATAGTTCGGAAAACATATCAGTTTAATGAATGCATATTGAAACGATCTGATTCATTTATAAATAATCATATTATATAAATTGAAAGCTATTTTATATCGAATATGGTCATACTTTAAATGCATGAATAGGTCCAACTGTATCTATGAGTCGTTCAATTTGACTATGCCACCAATTAACAGCTTGTAAATTAAAATAATTTAATAAACGTCCTTGTCCAAGCCACCATTTAATTGTTTTATTAAATAAATATCCATGTTCTTATGCATATTGATAATTAGGTGAATCGATATTAATCATTGACGTCATCCATAAGACAATATAAATATTTTTTTCACGAAATTCATCAAGCATATTTCGTATTGTTGGAAAGTTCGTTGGGTCAAATATAAATGTATTAAGATCTGTTGCCCAATCTGCATCTATATTAACAATACCAAATTGAATATTATGATTAATATAATCATTGAACATAGTTTGTATATCTCGTTGATTTGTTTGAGAATCATGTAACCAAATCATATGATAATGAGCCCATTCTGCATATGGTAATGAATTTGGCACGACAAAAATGAAAGGATAAAATAGAAGAATAATTAATAATACTAACATGATAATTTTCAAATAAAAATCATATGTGAAAATGTACAGCAGTCTTTAAATGAAAGTTAAGATAAGAATAATAACATCTGGCTTGTTTTTCTTTGTTATCATAAAGGCCATCAGATAATACTTCAAATATAAATTCCTTATAACGTTGTCGTGATATTCTTTATATTAACAGTTTTTTGCAATATGTTATGTTAATAGACGAGTAATAGAAACAACAATTTTTTTTTTTTTTGATATATCAAAAATATTCTTGAGGGTGTAGGTGTGAATGAACACGGATGAAACGAAGGCAAACACTCACACCCACATCCACAGTGGAATACAGTTGAATTATTAACATGGTAATTGTACTGATGATCACATATAGTTTAGTAAGTAAATAAGTCTATTATTTTCATTAAATTTTTGCACTGAGACATGATTCTCAGAACAAGAAAATGAGATAACTATTTTATACACTTCTATATATTATATGAGATATTTTCAAATATCTTCTCAAATAAAATTAATTCATTAATTACTGAGTTAGGATTTAATATTGCAAAAGACTGATTATATAAATTTTCATTGATTTTGAGAGAAAGCCAAAATAAAAAATTACTGAATTAATTTTATTGAAAAATTTTTCTATTCATTTATTGGAGTTGCTATCGTATCAATTGGAAGATAATATTTCGAATTTTTTTAAGCATCATGAGTGTACGAGAAATTGGATCGAATATATCTGGGTGTGGATGTTGATGTCGGATTGAAGAAGACTGACACCCACATCCTTTGATTCTTTCCTTTTTTTTTTGAAAAAGAAATGTTCAATCATCAAAACTAAGAACCTGCAAAACTTTCGAATTAATTAACGCTGTAAAGCAAACAGTTTTCTATCAAATAAGATGTGAATGAGATTTGTACGACAATTTCTATTGCATGGAAAGCTCGAAGTCTAGACCAATTCTCGATCTCAATTTAAAGCTTCCCATACAATCAGGAAAAAAATTGAAACATTCGTGGTATAAATCTCGTTCACATCTCATTCTGTAGAAAACTGTTTTCTCTAGAAACATGCATGCTGAACAGAATTATACTGCATTACTCATAATTTAAACATCCTCAAAAAATAATTTGGAAAAAAATCGCCAATTTGTTTATTAAATGCGAACACATAATTCTTTGAAATATCTCTATATAATAAGTATCAGTATCGAAATGTCACACGTATCGTCTTTATTTTGAGTAAGTATGAATTGTTTTGTTCTTCAGTGGAAGTAGGTCGACTGTGTTCTCAATTGAGAACTTAAATAAAAGTTAAATCTTGAAACTTTCTCACGAATAATTATAGTGTAAAACTTTTTCAATGGAGATAGTACAAGAATACATATTTATATCAAAAAGATATGCATAGAAATTCAACTCCTATTATGACAAGTATTGAGGGTGTGGATCTTCTCTTCAACTAAACCCACATCCAAATTCATCAATTCATATTGGAATCCATCATTACAAAATGAAACAATAAAATTATATGTCTAAGCATATGGTAGTAAACAAGTAAAACAATCTATCATTTTCTATATTTTATTATAGAAAATAAAACAATCTTTGATTTTTCATATGCTCACTGTGGTAAATAAACTAATAAAGTTATTTTATGTTAGAGCTGAAAAAATTGTAGATTAAAGATTTTTTCAAATACTGTTATTGGCGTATCGGAAGTTTGAAAAAAAATGCGAAGATGTCGAAATCAAAATCTTATTTTGGTAAGGCACTTCGGTTTCTTTCTAGTGTCGACTTGTCTATTTTATCATGATCAGAAAAGTAATAAGCATAATTTCGATTTTAATAAGTGCAGGTGACATATTACAACTAATCGAAATAAAGCGAAACTGCTTGAGAGGAGTGATTTATTATATATTGTTATTGTATTGTTGGATACAGTGAATATAGGGTGTGGGGGTGCATATTTATAAGACAAAGTCAACACTCACATCCACACCCACGCCTTGACCATCGCAATGCATTTGTGTATATTAAATAATACTTGACGCTGTATTCATTGTTTTGAATAATCAGTGTGATCTAAAGCAGAAGAAAGAGCAAAACATGAACTTGAAAACTTAGCAAGGTTATTTTTAAGAAGTGACATAAATTTATCCGACAAGACTAATACAGTTTCCAGTTTACTACTTTATGCTTTGTCTACTGTGTTTATACTTGATGGTATCGTATATCAAAAAGTAGCTTGCTCTCTTGTTTTGATGAGCGTCTGTCTGATTCATGAAGTACGTGCTTGTTCACTGAAGTGAGTAGCCAAATCTTGACAAAGACGTTTACGATGGTCCATTATGATATTCAGGGAATCACCGTTAAACTCTTTTCTTACTTGATCAATGTACTTGACGCCAGCTAATAGCAATCTCCAGTTGAGCTGATCATAGACAAATGTTTTTTTTCCGCGAGATCCCAGACGTCCTATCCATGTATTCATGTAGTCGCTGTCTTCGTTAGACTCACAGAAAATCTGAATTTTGCGCAGATTATATGGTAGCTCATTTTCGAGCATTGCATACCATTGTTGAATATTTCTACTGTAAGAAAATAACGTAACATTTTGACGATTCATTTCTAAGATTTTATCTTGGCATAGTAACATATTATTGCTTTTTTCAACGAACTTTATCGAATGCGCATCACGTACAGGAATAGCTATACTGGTTCCTTTTGTCTCATATAGTAGAAGGGTCCGATGACTAGCTGTTGAATAGACAGGATCGAAATGCAAATCATCGATTGTAAGCATCTGAAGAAAATGAAGAAAAAAAGAGACAATGCGAAAACAAAAATTCGAGAGACATTTTAGTGAAATGCTTTCAATATTATGCAAGAAACTGACACAGTTGCTGTGCTTTAAAAAACATGTCATTTGCTTGTGTGGCACATTTCCGATCACGACACTTCTCTCCGAGTTCTCCATAATGAGCAATGAGATCGTAAATCAGTTCCAAGCGAAGATCGTCAAGTTTCGTAAAAGTTGTCCTGTCTTCCGATGTTGAATTTCCAAAAAAATACAAAGATTTAACATTTTTTAAATTCCGAATGCCAGCTATCATCGAGTCCGAATAATAAGCATCGATAATCAAAAATACATTGCTCTGTTCTTCGTTATCCAATAAATGAAGATAACATCGATATTCACTATGGAAAGTCAAGCAGTCGGAAATGATATCGTTGAATTGTTTTAATATTTCTTTCATATTATGATCATTCTCTCCTTTTCGTTGCAGCAAAATAACCATAGTCGCTGGACACTCATATGATTCGCCAGCGTGTTCTGTCTTAATCACCGTTCGATGTGCCTTTCGAACTTCATCATGAATCAGATTGCCTTGCCCTTCGAATCGTTTTGACATAATGAAATCGCCCAATTTCTCATAGTTTTGTGCTTCCTGGCAATAACATCGATAAATTTCATCAACCAATTGACAAACAAGATCTTCACTGGTAGCAAATTGTTGCCGTTGATCAGCTTCATACGGATGATGTTCTAATATAAAAATTTTTGTAATTCGTGAAGGCAGTTTTTCCATGGAAGAAACATATTCACGACTAGCAAAGAGTAAAGTGGTCTTATCTGGTAGCTGATGAAAATCAATGTCAGATGCCTTTTCAAAAATAAATAAAAAATCAATTGTCAATGGGAAAAGTGCATCCAGCATTGCCGAAGCCAATTTGCTTAAACGCTTTGTTAAATCGACAAGAACGAATTGCACATTGGGCAGAGAGACTACAATCAATCTTAGTATCTTTGCTTTTTTCAAAGAATTCAAGGTCTTACCTAAAGATCCTATTGCATTAGCATTCAATCTTTCTTGTAATTGAGATAAAATAGGATGACTCTCATCGTGTGCATGCAGCTTTTGAAGAGTTTCATAATAAACCAGTGCTAGTTCATTTTTCTCACATTGTTCTAAAAGACTGCCTATCATACAGAGATTGTTACTTTGTCGAAGCTTAGTTTTCATATCAGAGAGGCAATTTTCATCTCCATTATTATCAAGCGTTAACTGAAGTATCCAACTAGCATCGGTATTCTGTGTTAAGCTTTCGATACGAAATATTGAACCACACATGAAAAGAATATCTTGCTCGCTGGAGTGTTTAATCAACGGATTCATGTCAGTCACAAAAGCAAATGATGATAGGTTTCGTTCTCCACATGCATCTATTTCAAGTATGACAGTTTCCAGTGTACTTTTTCTCGTAGGGTCGAAGCCCAATGTGGGCTTTTGCGTCGAAGCAAATAGAAAACCATTCCAGGATATATAACGGCTTCGATTTTCTTTGATGTATTCCAATTGCGAGCGCAACATACGATGTAGTTTATAGCAAATTAATGAAGGAGTCGGCTTGTTGTTCATTTGCGCGTGAATATCTTTGAGAAAAAAGCGAAGAAGAAAGAGCATCGAAATATCTTGCTCACGTAGTGCCTTATTCGTTAAACGTGCCAGTGGTGATCCCTGTACGAGCCACAATACTCCTGGACTAGACTGATATGCTTCTTGGAATTCATCGATCAAGGTTAGTCCATACTCATCTTCTACACTCCATTCGCATAGAACTTGTAGAAGTTCAGTGGATGTACTCTGAAATAGAAAGTAGCATGGTGCAATAAGAACTTCCAGAAAGAGTTGAAACCATAAGAATGCCGCTTGTTTCGAACTAAAATCATGCGAATAAGAAATTTCTTCGGGTATAATCATCATCATTGTTTTCGAATCCTCGAAACATTCAAGATCTTGGTAGTGTTTTTGTATGTCTCTAAGAAGATCATCCTCAGAGCTGGCAATGTAGCGTATTTTCGAGTACGATCGTGGCAATACATCTCTATAATTGGAATCGGAGCGAAGCACACAAATACTAATGACGGATGTTAGATTATGAATCTTGGAGATGATTTCATTTCCCAATTGGCTAGGGATGATTAGAATGATCTTTGCATCGGCTGGCTG